CAAGTAAAAAAAGTTACAAATAAAAGTTAATGATAGAATCAAATTTAATTATATTTAATCCAAAATTCAGAGGCTCCAATTACTCAAATAGAGCCGAAATAACTCCAAGTGTAAGTCAAAAATAATTCAGGCAATTTCTTTTTTTGATTGATGAATTTAAAAGTGTGATAAATATGTAAAAAGTGATAAATAAATACAAAAAACACTTCGGAATGACACTTATTTTTGCTAATCGAACCATAATATTGACAATAATTTGAATAAGTAATCTTTTGAATGTTGATTGTTACGACTGTATTTTAATGTAATATACTGTATTATGTAAGTATATGTACCTATATTTTTATTAAAAGGTTTCAAGATTCTGAGAACTTAACTCTGTCGGTACAATTTGAAGCGTTTATCTATACTATATATATAATATTATAAAGAGGTAAAGTTTGTGAGTTTGTGACGTTGTAGGGGGTAATCTCTGGATCTACTGAACCGATTTAGATGAAATTTGGTAAGAAGATAGTTTGAGACCCTGGGAAGGACATAAGAAACTTTTTATGCCAAAAATCATCTCTTATGGGGTTGAAAATGGGGATGAAAGTTTGTATAGGGAATCAACCTAGGAACGAACCCGAGCGAAGCGAGGGTGAGTAGCTAGTAATAAAATAAATTGACTTGCATGATTGTTTTTCTGATGTTACTTTTATCTAATTTATAATAACCGTAAGAGGTCACACACGAGTCATTGACTTTAATGCAGCAATAACATCAGTTGTAAAATTTTATTATAGGTAAGTATTATGTCAAAGTTCATAGTTTTATCACCTTACGTTAAAGATAGATACCATACTTTGATAAGGAATTCGTATGTAATACTACATATATATTTTAACATCGAGTCTCAGCTACACTCGGGCGCTCTTTTTTTTTGCAAAAATTAGGTGGTACATATAGTTTTCCAAGGTTATTCGCGATTTCTCTCGCATCTGATAACAATTAATTGTAAGAAACTTATACACAAAAGAAGATAAAAAGTTACACGTTATATTGCTGAAACATAACAAATCTGTTTTTATTTTTAATTTGATAGTTTCAAATTGAACAAAATGAGTTAAAAATTAATCTATAAATATACAAAATCGGTAAAGTAAATTAATCGCGTGACGCGCGGTGTTAATCAAATTAGAATTGAGCTGATGCGTAAATTGCACACGACGTCCAATGTAGAGTTCTCATAAGCTATGATTTGTGTTACTTTCATAAAGATAAACATCACTTACAATGGAGAGTATGCGTAAAGATAATAATGGCTTTGAAAAAACAAGAGAAATGCAACGATCGGTATACACTTTATATTTCTTCTGTATTGAATTATTTTATTATAATTCTTTGAAACACGATAATGGAACTATCACAATAATCGCTGAAACACATTGAAATCTTTAATTCAAATATCAATTTCGGATTTTATAGTAAAGACTCTCACTCTCGCTTCGCTCGGGTTCGTCACCAGGTATTTTTTAACGGTTGGTATGGAATAGATAGATTATCTATACAGATAAATAAAATTGAAGTGTTTGTTTGTAATGTCGAAATAACAGCTTTTTACTAAATGCATATGAAATTATATATAATACTTATAAGAATAAAAATTGTCTGTCTAACTCTTTATTAGTTCCGGATAATCTCTGAAACGGCTGGACTGATTTTGATGGGGCTTTCACTGGAAGATAGCTGATGTTAAAGGGTGTAACATAAGCTACTTTTATTTTAGAAAAAGAATTAGGGTTCCGCTCAAAAAAATTTAAATGTACCTAGGCACGAACCCGAGCGAAGCGAGGGTGAGTCGCTAGCTTAAACTAAATTATAAGACAATGCCTAAGCCTAATAGATTTAGGTATTGTCCATCAATATATAAAAGGCTTAGGTGGAGGAGAACTAGAGCTATAACTATACCCAAAATTCGATAGTCGGATAAGAGTTTAATTAAAAAATAAAGTTTGCATTCAAGCTAAGTCTATATATATTAGAAATAAAATTATAAACTCAGATAATAAAATTAAAGCCACTTGGGATGTAATTATTCGTACGGTTGGAAGATCAAAGATCACTAGTGAACTATGAACCTAACAATAGATAACGTATCACTGAGTTTAAACGAAGATGTTGCAAATACTTTTGAGAATTATTTTTCGGGAATCCCAATAAAGGTCACATCTTCATTAAAATCATCTTCCCTAGACGCGATTAGCCTCTTACAGAAACATACTCATGACTGTGATCACCAGTTTAAATTTTCATATGTAGATGCACAAGATATTATTAAAGTATTCAAAACAATTAACCTTAAGAAAACTGGTAATTTATGGGGGCATGTCTGTTAAATTACTCAACTCAAAAATAATTTACAATGCGCTATATTTATCCCTTATTTTCAATAAATGTGTAGACTATTGAACTTTCTCTGATCTTATGCCATTTAGTAAGGTAATTCCTCTAAAAGCGGTGATTAAAATTATCCTGACCTATTGGCCACCGTGACCGAAATCGGTCCGGCATTTTTTAGAAGGCATCTTTATTATAAATAATATAGTAGGTACTTAAGTATCTACATAGTCAATTGTCCCGAGCGGAACTCGAATCCGCCACTTCCAGAGCACTGATAGATACTCTTACCACTACAGCAGGTGGTTGTTTTAGGATTCCGTATATATATACATATATATACATAGTATTATAATATTATTGTAATACTGATATTATATTATAGATTTATTTATCAAGCATTACAATTTAATTATAATTGCTGATGACCTGACTCCGCTTAGCGCAAGACTTACTACAACCTACGCGTTGTTTAGGTAATTATTATTGTCCATTATTATATATACTTCAGGATATTTAGTAATCTTACTAGTTACTACTATAAAAATGCGAAAGTTTCGATAGATGGATGTTTGTTACTCAAACACACCAGAATGGCTGAACAGACAGTTAAAAATTTGGCACAGATATAAATATTATAGTCTGGAAAAGCATACTTTTTATCCCGGAAAATGTACGACTCCCGTGAGACAGTTTTTTTTTATTTTTCGACGAACCCGAGCAAGGCGAGGGTGAGCCGCTAGTATTCTTACATATGCACTTACAATTAAATCAACTAAGATAAAAATTAGTGATTTCGTGAAAAACTATAGAATCAACGAACATATTTCCAATGATTTTAAATTAGTAAGAATATATGTTATATACCTAAAATGCAAACAAGATTAACTTAGAACGTATATTTTATAAATATCATAAATTTTCATATAAGTAGTATTGTATAATCATGATCATAATTACCACCTTTCACTTTTGTCGGACGCCAACCTGTGCTCGTTTCCATAGGCGCATCACATACATTAATATCACAAAGGATCATAGTGGGTTAGCAGTGTCTATTTATATTATGTTGCAATATCATACATCCGCATGCCAGAAGTATACGGCCCACCGCTGTTACTCTAATGCTATACTACTCTTCCGCCCTAGTTTGGCCAAACGAGATACATACATAGCCTTGATTCTTAAAGGTTCTTTGGGTTAAAACGTTTTTGGGTTATAGGTTTTTATATATATTTTTGTCAGTGGAAACCTCTATTAATTATAAGTATTTCGTAACTTACTTAAATATTATAAAATATGCTTTGTAGATTTACAGTAATAGGTAGATAAAATGTTTCACCTCTATTTTGCTTTGAGAAGACATTAAATTAGGTAATTTACACTGAAATGCGTATTAGTTATTTTACAGTTTATTATTTGAAAACAGGTAGGTACCTAGGTATAACATATTTGTAAAATCCCACGTACAGAAATAATTTAATAGATACAACAAAACATATTCTTATTTAAAATTAACCAAACCAAATCTTTTTATTTGAATCCGGTCATATAAATGGGTAATAATATTCTTTATTTATACCTCATTCTTGAATTAAATTATAAGGTATGTTTCATTCAATTTTAATAGTACCTATACTGTATGTGCTTTGCATCAGACTGTTTTGTTTTGTTTGTATATTGAAGACCAATTGTTGACCGACAAAAAGAAGAAATTCGTTTTATTTATATGTTAAACGTTACCTATTGTTATCAATTTTGTACCAATTTTTGATAATTAATATATACTTATCAAGTAACTTTAACTTCTTAGTTAATAAGCAACGGAGGTAAGGAAATATTTCGAATATGTTAAATGTCGCTAAAATGAATCTAATAGGTATATACGAGCAATATTTATTTATATTTTATTTATACCGGCGATCTCGGAAACGGCTCTAGCGATTTCGCTGTATTTGGGCGTTTTTGAAGATGAAAACACGAGTGTTTTCGAGTTTCTATGCAGTTTTCTTTCGCATTATTCCCCGCAAAATATGGTCGCCAATTTCGCTCGTTCGTGCGTAAGTATTGTGGTCAAGCGGCTAAGGTGCAAGATTGACAATCATAGGTGTCCGGGTTCGGATCCCGGTCAGATACAAAGTTTTGACTTTTGTTTTTTTTTGTATTTATTCAAGTTTATAGTTTTTTTTTAATAAAAATTGTACATTTGGCCATACAATACTGACAGGTAATTCGCTAAAATCAATAAAAATTATCAAATTTACATTAAAAAAAACCTTAGCTTATATTTTAACGTCGTGTCGCAATTTAACAAAAACATACGTCATATTATAACTAAAAGTATATTTCCGTTACTTTTCAAGGAAATAATAAAAACAAAAAAGCTTATATAAAATACTTTATTTATAAAACTGTCTGTATGTACTATGTAATAAACGTGAAGCAATACCGTTGTACATGGTAGGTAATTTACGTTGCATGTGGAAGTAAAAGTAACTAAGCGACGTGCTCCGATAAAACGTCAAGGACGCTAGAAATAGAGCAATTATTTAAACAAAAACTTGTTTCCCCCGTATCTGTGATAACTTATTACTAATTTTTTTATACATTTAAAGGAACTACGATTCGGCTGGCATCCCGATGCACTTCTCCCAGTAACGGTTCATCGCATTGTACCGATGTCTATTGACGCCAGCTAAGCTGTGAGCTTCATCGGGGTACGACTGCAAACGAAAATATATAAAATTACATATTAATACATAATTTTTTCATTAAATACCTTAAAAACAAAAATTACGTATAAATAAAAATGTTAGTAAAATAACAGAATTAAATTCCTTTGACTATTTCCATTATCTTTATTTTTCTGAATACCTCATGAGGAAAACAATCAACAGCCATTAAAAAAATAACAGATAAAAAATTAAAAACAAACCATTTTACTCTTTCCTGAGATATAACATGAATGTGTTTTTAATTATTATATTTAAATTAAACGAAACATTAAAAAAGAAATATTAAATTTTAAAAATTGAATTCTGCAGACTAAAAAAATGGTGTAAATTTTATGACATAATTTATTTTATATTCGACTTCAGACTGCTGAACAACGCGTCTCTACAACCTTGAGCTGTATAGTAGAGAATGCTTGAGACATCAAGCCCGCCAATTACAATTATAAAGACATTGATGTCTAAGGAGTTGTTATCTTAGTTTAGTTAATTATATCGTACAGTGTGTTGAATGTACACAGACAGATTATGACCCGGAGTAACATAGGCTAATGTGAGACGCACTCGAGCGAAGCTGTGTTAGAGTAATACTTTTAGATTTACGAGAATATTTGATATTTTAAATAAAACTATTTTTCGGATTATTTCGCGGATTTATTTTGATTTTTGGTTCCCGAGGTTTCGAATGCTTTCCAGCAATCATGATCACGGGAGACACTAAGGTATAAGGCATCTCAAGGCATTATTATTATATACTTGCTACAGACAGTGTCTACCAACAATTTTACAAAATGATTTCAAAAAGTCAAAAATAGCACCAAAGTACCTTACAATAATTGTTGATTTTAATTAAAATTTAATATTTAATAGATTATAATTATTTAAACTGTGTTAGAGTATTTTATTGCCATACTGGCGACTTACTTTAATACTAGCAAAAGATTAATTATTTCCATAGAAAATTCAAATAGTTCCATACTAACAAAAGACAAAAAACATCACATTAAAATGTGTTGATAATTAATTTTATATTATTTTACGATATAACGAATTTTAATAGTATCTACTTAAACGAGAATTAAATCGTCATCAATTAACTATTACCGCAGAGTGCAGACTGAATTAGTGCACAATCACCGATAAGAGTACCTACTGGCTAACCGCAGGCTTGTGTGGTTTACATTTGTTTTCCAAAACTCAGTATGACGTCTTTTATAGTGAAAGATAAAATATATATATCCATTAAAATATATTTTATTTGCACTTTTATTTATAGGCTTTTGGTTCTAAATGTTTCGAAGTGTTTGAGAGGTCGAAAACCTTAATTTCTTTTGACTTTTGACCACGTTTGCTGTAAAGCATTCGAAAGTCAGGAATTGAAAACCAAAACAAATCTGCGATAAAATCGTTTCATTTAAAATGTCAAATACTCGCGTAAATCGTAGAAGGCATTATTTATTTTATTATTATACATCGACGTATAATCTTTCAAGTCAGAAAAACCTTTGAAGTTTCACATCAATCATGTCGATCTGTTCACGGTCTTTCCGCTTGTATTACATATTATATATCGGAACCCAATGCCATTCTAACAATAGTACCGTATAGGAATCCAATACGAAATCTCCTTTGTTAAAGGCAATGTTACAACATAAAAAACAAAAAAAAGTATCATGATAATTAATTGACAAGTCAAGAATTAATCAAATGTCGAATGATAGTGGTATTTAAAAAAAAACGTAAGTGTGTAACTTATGTAAGCACGTAAGAAGTTATACTTCTTTGGCGTAACAGAATAAAAATATCTAAAGATTTCATCTCGTATGTCACAACTCTCTGTTTGTAAAAAGAATGCAGCTTATTTCATCATGTCGCTTTCAGCTAACCTCATCATGTCGCTTTTGGCTGTTGGCGTGAAAAAATTTATTCTCGTATTTTTTTCCAAACGTACCAAAATAAGTATAACTTCAAAAATACTCTCAGATATATAAGATCCTTAGCGTAAAAAACTTATAAAATCGAATTACACATACCATTTGCTCAAAAGGTATATCAAGTTGTTGCAACTTCTTATAAAGCTTGGCCGCATTTTGATAGTGCACATTGTCGTCTGCATTCCCGTGCATCACATAAATGTTCTTTCCTCGTAACTTCTCTGCTAGAAGAGTCACATCGCCGGCTTCGTAACCAGCTAGGTTATCTTCTGGAGTAGGCAAGCCCATATATCTTTCTGTATACATGGTGTCTAAAAATTCAAAGTAGTTTAGTTCATTTTTAACTAACATTTTAGAAGGAAAAGATTCTCTATTCAAATATATGTTTTAGCTATGAACCTATTTTAAATGACTTTTTTAAGTAATGATTTTTACTTCAGAATGATCCAATATCAAGTAAAAAACCTACTTTAAAGGTGGATTAATTACTTAAAGCCCTACATACGGTGTTTTTATTTAAGATGTTTATATTTTCTTCGTTTTTTCCTCACTATTCAAAATAAAATATTGCCTGTGAGATAGTGGAATCTTCTGCCAGACTTTGACTTAGGCAGACCAATCTGAAGAATCAATTGTATGGTCAATATATGAAAATTAAACCAGCCACTTTCAGTATAATATTGCCACATAGTACTATTGTGCCATCGATCATCGCAAAAAGAAGAAGACGCAGTAAAACTACTTATCTACGGTATAAATGATTGCTATAATGACCTCTTAACAGATTGGGGTTACGCCGGCCAATCTTACTTAGACTAGCTATATGCGCAGAAAATATTGTAATGCATAAGATTGTACTCGTACGTATTACGTAGATATACGTACATTCTCTTTTCCATTCATTCCAGATGAGAGACTCAATGGTGAGATATCTATACCGGTAAATAAAATTGAAATGTCTGTTTGTAATATTTTTAATAAATACATAATATGACAGTACATACGGTACTTATAATAAAAAACAATTAGATTTTTTTTGTCTGTCTTTCTGTCTGTTTGTTCCGGCTAATCTCCGAAACGGCTAGACCGATTTTACTTTTATTTGAGAAAAGGATTAGGGTTCCGCGTAAAAAAATTAAATCCCATGAAATTGCGAACAAAATCCGCGTATCTAGACAGGCACTGGGCACAGGATCGACGTCAACTTCCTTAGACTTTTCTTTTCTTTACTCGAACTCGAACCTATCCTAGGTTAGAACCTCCAGATTTGCATTATGTACATGTTAACCACTAGACGATCGAAGCAAGTACCGGTAACGAACGGACTTTCATGAAACTTTACATTGACATCTTATATATAGGCTATAATTTATAAATATATGAGATATAATAAAACTACACGGAAGAAGCCGCGGGAAAACCCTAGTAATAAAGATTTATAACTATCTTACTGTAATACAACCACGACGTAACAGGTGCGCCGGCGACGCCGCACTGGAACATGCCGGTGTCGTCGTGCACCATCGTCAGGAGAGTCGCGTACCCGCCGTAACTGTGACCCCACATCGACACTCGCTCGGGATCCATAAACGCGTAACGTTCTAAAACTTGCCTATAATTTAAACGATATATTTAAATAATTCTCAAAGTTTTATTTATCGAACCCAAATTGCAAAGTATTCTTCAAACAAAGGTAAATCCAATATGCATGTTGCATAGTTCCGTTAAATAGCAAAAATGATTTGGTGCAAAATTAATTATTTATTGATCAGCGATTAGGTCATAGGTAATTAATCAAATTAATAATTAAAAATTAAAATTTTACGTCCCCTTATACTAATAGATGCGTTAAGATCTACCTCAGTAATCTATAATATCTTAAAATATACATTGTTATAAGCATTTTTCTAAGGATAAAAAAATAGATAGTCGTAATTTGTTTGCATGTGTAAAAGATTTTTTTTATAAACATGGCATACCAAAAATACCAATTACTTCTTATAGTGGATTTACTTTCATTTGAAGATATTCACTAAACTTATACAATGTACATGTATTGTAATCAGCTCTATTTAAGGTCCTACAGCAGGGCACGGGTCTCCCTTCAATGCGTTGGAGACCCAGGTCTCCTGAATTTGAACCCGCTTCACTCGGTTTCCTAAACAACCGCGTTACCACTGGGCTAATTTTACATATTGTGTATTTATAAATTTTCCATTTATCAGTTAAACCTTTTAGAGCGAGTAGCAGCACTATGTCAGCTGTCAAAAACACTTTTAAATTGATGGATGGGTGAAAATTCAATTTTAGAAAGCCACAAAATAAAAGAAAAGCAGATACGCTCTTATTTATAACTTTTACATTATCTTTAGAATAGACAGAGTAGACAGATATGTATATTTGCAAAGCCAATATGTACAATTTATACTCTTTGTACGAATATGTTGTTCATCAGCAGTTAAATCAAGTTAGTCCTGCTGTTCTAGCTAGTTTGTATTTAACAACACGTTTAAGTCTCTGTTAAGTCACCTAGTTTTGAAAAATGATCAAAAGTATTTCTGTCAAGGAGGCAATAATAAATAATATTTACTTCTTATTTGGTTTTACTGTCATTGCGACTTATTTAAGCTTGAATTATATATTAAACTAGCAACTCAACCTCGCTTCGCTCGGGTTCGTCCCTAGGTACGTTTTAACGGTTAGTATGATATAGAAATCTTTGAATTTCTCGGTTATTCTGTACTATAACATGCATGTGTTATACATATAAACCTTCCTCTTGAATCACTCTATATATTAAAAAACCGCATTAAAATCCGTTGCGTAGTTTTAAAGATCTAAACATACATAGGGACAGACGGACAGTGGGAAGCGACTTTGTTTTATACTATGTAGTGATTTTTTGTCAGCATTTCAAGTAAAGATTGCCAGTAAGTCATATTGACAAATATGTATTTATGTATAATCAATACATACATACATACATAAATTATACATACATAAATTAATAGATACATACAATTAAATATGAATGTGATTAGTTCTTCCTTCGCGTGGCATAATTTAAACGCATAATATTTATTACCAGACTACTTCGCAAATTATTTATTACTAATCTACGTATCGTACTTTAGTGCTATTTGTTTAAACGTCCAATACTTGTTTTACTTTACAGTAGAGTCTTTTTACTCCATTTTAAAAACAAAGCTTTATTTCTAATATTTATTATATACAATATAAATATAAAATATGTTTTTGCTATAAACTGTATATTTAATAACAAAAGAATTGACATTTAAAAGTCAATAATTATGTTTTAAAAACTCTATCTTTAAATTGGTCGTTTGGACAAATAAGCACTGAGACGACGTTATGTCTGTAATAAAAATTCTTACTATACTAGTCTGCCTTTTATTTAGAGAAAGTAACAGCATTGTTTTATTTTTTTTAAAATAAATAAATAAAAATTTATCGAATAATACTTTCTTAGATTTACGCGAATATTTGTCTTTTAAATAAAACTATCTTTTCGGATTTTTTCGCGGATTTATTTTGGTTTTTGGTTCTCGACGTTACAAATGCTTTAAAGCAATCACGGGAAGAATCCCTGTCTTCTGTGACCCGGAAGAGAATCTCTCCGCGTTTGCTGTAAAGCATTCGAAACGTCGGGAATCAAAAACCAAAATAAATCCGCGAAAAAATCCGAAAAGATAGTTTTATTTAAAATAAACAATTATTGATAATCCACCGTTAATCATTTATGCGGCGTAATTAAACTCATATAGTATGATAAGAAATACACAAGTTATCCTCCATGATTCAGACATATAATTTCTAACATTCTAAGAGCTCATTTCTAATAAAATAAATATGAATCAGATAACTAACATTTTGATAAAAAAATGCTTTTTATTGCATACACGTTGTTCATATGTTAAACATACCTCAATATAAGGAAATGATCAAATATTTCGACGGTTCCCAGAGCATTGTTTAACGAATATAATACTTTCTGTCCATTCAGTCCTGCGCCGCGTGGGTCGGCCATCATGTATATAGTATTGCGACTAGTTGTTAAATATGAATGGTAACCTAAAAAAGTATTTCTATTAAGTATAATAATTAGGCAATAAATTTTTCATGTGAAATATTCTAATAACAAATATTCTACAATATATTTTAAAAGTAATGTTTCTTAGTAGGCAAAACTAACTTGCTAAATTAAATTATAAATATTATTATTTTTTTGTCTGGCCCTTTTTTATCAATCAAAAATAAGAAGTTATACTTCTTTGGCGTAACAAAACAAAAATAGCTAAATATTTCATCCCGTATGTCACAACTCTTTGTTTGTAAAATGACTGAATGAATGCAGCTAACTTCATCATGTCGCTTTTTGGCTGTCGATGTACGCGCATATCGTAAAAATTTTACTATCATATTTTTTCAAAAACGTTGCCAAAAGAAGTATAACTTCAAAAAACAACAAACGCATCAACTCATTGGCTTTGTTCTGTATGTGTATACAATAATATGTTACATTATACAAGTTTGTATTAAAAGTCTAGACCAATTTATATAAGACCCAAGCGCCATCACAAAGCCCAAATAGTGGCGCACTGAGCTGTCATCTTTTTTACAATTTATGTTTTAGATGTAATAATCATATGTGTTAAATGTTAAAGGTACGTAAAAGGTAAGTCAAATAATTTTAATAAATATTTCACATAGGGATAATTAACTGAAAAATGTATTTAGTTGAAGGAAAAACCTATAGATCATGAATATTTTGTCTAATATGGTCAATGGAAACATTTGCTATGAATGTAACCCGTAACTAATAATGCAACAGTGTGTACCTAAGCTATTTGCAAAAAGTACTTAATATTAAGTGTAGAAAAATTATAATTGGGTATAATATGAAAACAAAACTGAATATTAAAAGATTTACAATATACATGCTATCTGATATATTCTAAAAAAAAAATACGCTATAGGTAAAAGATCTGATAATTTTTCGTGTTGACATTCTAACGTAATATATGAAACCAATAATAAACTTACCAACAGTAAACCTATCGATCACAGTGTTGGTATTCGGTCCGGAGTACACGTAGAAAACTACTGGATATTTAGTATTAGTGTCGCTCACATTAAGTCCGGGGGGAAGGAACAACCTGACTGATGCTGGATGTCCATCTTCTAAGGGAACCGTTGTTATAATACTTTGCGGTCTGGTTTTACCGACAAGACGTGCTCTGACTATTTGATTGTCTTCCCATATGAGAAGAGGGCGATCATTCTAAAAATACAGCTCTCCATATAAAGTCATGAATAAAATAGTGTGAAAATGGGAAATCCTTAGAATTGACCACACCAATGTTTGATTATGGTCTAATTAAGAGGACAAACCATAGATTACAGTCTCACATTGTCCCGATATTGGTAGAATTGTAACTAGACTATTATAACACTATTTAAAGGAAAGAGCACCTGTTCTTTTAATAAAAATATACTATTTACATTATCTATACTATCTATACTAATATTATAAAGAGGTAAAGTTTGTGAGTTTGTGTGTTTGTGAGTTTGTGACGTTGTAGAGGGTAATCTCTGGATCTACTAAACCGATTTAGATGAAATTCGATAAGAAGATAGTTTGAGACTCTGGGAAGGACATAGCATATTTTTTATCCCGGAAATCATCCCTTAAGGGAGTGCAAACGGGGTTGAAATTTTGATTGGGAAATCAAGCCAGGGACGAACCCGAGCGAAACGAGGGAGAGTCGCTAGTCATTTATAAAGACGAATTCAATCTCTTTCCAAATATTATAAAGTAAAACTTACCAAGGGATCATAAATGTAAGTAACAATCGGTTCGTCACTAGAGGAGCACGAGATGGCCAAGTACGAGCCTCCCCGGCTGGCGGAGGCGACGGGCCACGTGCAGCGGCCGCCGCCGGGCAGCCGCAGCGAGCAGCTGAGGCACGCCGACCGCGACCCGGACACGTGCACTTCTGCTTGCCACGGCGCGTTTGTTACCGTACGGGTGAAGTAGCTAACCAAATAGAACAAAGCACGATTTTCTGTCAACACTATCTCAATTTCGATTTTATTCATAGGCTAGTGACCAGGGCTGCCAGTAGAGACAACTGCTACCAGTAGAGCCAACTTGTTTGATACCGCTGGCTACTCAAATTATACCAAACCAAATTTTGTTATACAAATTTACAAAACTGTTGAGAAATAGTTTGTGATGAATAAAAAATTTCAATATAAATACGTAATAACTTAAAATGAAATATACATAAAATAACAATATTTTACAACTTTCGTATCCAATTATATGATCTGGCAGCCCTGCCAGTGACTCACCCCCGCTTCGCTCGATTTCGTCCCTAAGTATCTTTTAACGGTTAGTATGAATAAAATATGCATGTATTATTCACATAAACTTTCCTCTTGAATCACTCTACCTATTGCTGAAAACTGCATTAAGATCCGTTGCGTAGTTTAAAAGATCTAAGCGTACAAACAGCGGGATCGAATTTGTTTTATACTATGTATAGATGTCTCCCTGCACATTTCCCAGTCATTTGGGGTCGGCGCAGTATATCTTCTGTACTGCTGATAGGATTTGGCAAAAGTTTTACGACCGACCGCCTACCTGACATCAACCCTCCTTGGGAATGCTATTGTTTATCGCGGAAGTCTTGTAATATATTAATAAGTAAATACGACATTGTTTTCTTTTAAAACATTTTTCTTATACTATTACTCAAAGTTTTAATGTATTTTTCGGATATATTTTGAACACACAATAAATTTTGTTTTGACGTTATCCATTTTTTTCTAAACTATGTTTGGATGGTCATCTAAGCCGCGGGCAATGCTAATTGTTAAATAAAATTCTATTCTGGTTAGTAAATTATTAACAACGAATTAATATTGTCTTAATTAAGACCACTTTTGTCATAATCTAGTAACATCAGCTCGCTGTCGCAGCTCTTTTAGGTACTTTATACGATCTCAAGTATTAAGTTTTTATTTCTATTTTTTCGTAATTTAACTATATTAGACATTTATATACAATTTTATTTTGAATTTATTTTACATAATATGTATATATCTAAGCAAGAAAAATTCTAAAACGGTTTACACCATCTGGTAACTGTAGGTACTGTAGGCACTAGGTTGTAACTAAAATATGCTATCACGACTATCCAGCTTTTGCTTACTATGCTGCCGTAAGCCGTTAAAATATCTAACCAATTAAATATTCTCTAAAGTCTAAAGTAATATTTGACAACTCAATAATGATTTTGAATGCATTATTTACTTTTGGTAACTTCAGATCGCACTTAAAACGACCCACGACCTCGGTATTTCTGCTTCCACTAACATTCACTAAATCAATGGTGATTTTACGTATAAATTTGAAAACCAAATATTTTAAAAAAATTAATGTACATATTTTATGCACTTAAAAAACATGATATTTTCAATATTTTTTTTTATTTATTAATAGCTAGATAAATTTTATTAAGACTTTCTCTTTAATCTTGGTAACCAAATCTAAAAATACAACTTCGATAGTATTCTTTACTTGAATCAACTGAGGGATCCAAAATAATATTTTCATTGATTAGTAGGTATCGATAACTATTATAAAAAAATAAAATTAATATAAAAACTAGATATAAGCTATATAGTTTTGATTGAGATTCTGAATTTGACGAAACAAAGAATCGAAACGCCGAAAGTGTCGTCAAGCTTGTTGTAAACAACGTACACTTAGAAGTAAATAATTTGAGATTTTGTATCAAAATATTCAAAATGTAATGTAAATCACATACCAAATGAGTATTTATTTGAAAACCAAGAACAATTTACGTGAGTTCAATATTAAAAATAGTTACTCGATGCACTTCTAGCATGAAACGAGATTGCATTCCGCATAGTAATGAGTCGATATCTTAGAACGCTTATATATTTGCTACAAATTGTATTTTTGTTAAAATATACTAATAATATGAATAAAATAATGTACAGTTACTATTATATACATTGTGGTATACACATTACACAATAAAATATATTTACTAAATATGTACGGTGAAGGAAAACATCATGAGGAAACCTGCATGTCTTAGAAAACCTAGCAAGTTTTCGAAAGATATTTGAAGTCCGCCAACCCGCACTTGGCCAGCGTGGTGGACTATGGCCTGATCCCCCTCGTATTGAAGGGAGGCCCGTGCCCAGCAGTGGGACGCTAAAAAGGGCTGAATACACAAATATGTACTAATATTTGTTTGCACTAGTAACAGTGACTGTACAACAGGTTTATACCTAAGTACACAAAATTTCGTAAATTGGAGCAATCTAGATTATTAGGAACGGTACCTAGAATCTTATGACGTTATTTGAATAAATATGGCTGTACTATGTTCTCACTACTAGTATAGTATTATATTATCTGTGGTTCTCACTATGCATTCATGAAGGAACTTATCAAAACAATTGTTTTGAGGATATATTGAATAACAAAAGATTACGAAAATAATAAATAAAAAAAAATCGCAAGTTTTAGCAAGTCTCATAAAGACAAAAACGTTAAATTAACCACTAACAGCCAATATGTTAAAATTATATAAGCTAAAAGCATTAAATTAAGAATTTCCTATAAAAATAAAAACTCATATATACTCACTATAGCAAATTCTCCTCATTCATACCAACGTAGCTGTTGACAGTGAAAGCTCCAGGCGTAATAGAAGTAGATACGATTTGACCATTAATACGCATACTGACGTATAAATGTTGCCATATATAGCCATCTGCTTGTTCTAAGGACCAACGCGTCGATACGTAGCGGTCTCCGCTACTGCTGAATCTTGGCAATGCAATTGGTACCCACCCATTAGACTGTTGACGATGTTCTTCCTGGTAGATAATAATAATATTATATATTTAAAACACGTGTCATTACGTTGGTAACTTCCTTATGTACGTAGACTGACTACTGAATACTGATATTTACTTTAAACGTTAATATTTATGACTTAACTGCTTCTAAAAGTCTGTTTGATTTGATCTAACACCAAAATTCTAAATTAAAATTGTGCTATTGATAACAAAAATTGTGTACTTATGAGTCACCCCTTGGTGGTGGAGGTGGACCTAGCAAGCGTTATTGATTTCGAGTTTTTTTTTTAATCAAATCAGGTCTGTGGCAGAACAATGTCTGCTTAGGTACTGAGTTCGTTAGTGTTAGGTAATGTCGTCTCAGTGCTTATTTATTAAAACAACCAATTTACCGAAAGAGTTTATAATACCGAATTATTGACTTTTAAATGTCAATTTTATTGCTGTAAAAACATTTTACTAACATATACTTTTTTTTTGACATTAACACACATCACCATCTAGTTCCATGGTAAGCTACGAAGCTTTTGCTATCGATACCAGTTATTTAAATACATACATATTATAAATATATACACCCATGACTAGAGTACAAACATTTGTGCTCATCACACAAATAAAAGCCCCCAGCGGGACTCGAACCCGCGACTGCTGGCACAGAAAGTAGGGTCACTACAAAGTACAAACTGAGCCAAACGTGTCGTCAATTTATCTATAAATCTACACATATTTTTAAATCTAGGAAAAAAAGTCTCTACTAAAAAGTAAAACAATTATTGGTGGTTTAAACAAATAAGAACTAAGGCGATGCTATGTCATAACGTTTGTTTGTTACTTTGTCTTTCTTTCGGGCAATCACACTGAGCTTCTAGTTTATTATGTGGAGAATGACATAGACATAAATTTTCTCAAATGGTTAAGAAACGTGGCGTCACTAGTTATTAGTGACGGCGTTTTCGGTTTTTTATTAATATCAAGAACATTTTTGTTCAATATACATATAATATCATTCGAATAAAATTTCACTATTATATGATGATGTTCTCCTGACCGATTCCGGCCACAGCGGCCAATCTCATTGAGACTAGCCAACTGCGCAGGAGATATTATAGTGCACAAGTGTATGCGCAGACACAACGTGCACTCTCTGTTCCTGTCACTCTCATACTCCGGTGGGACGACACGAGACACGACCGGTGAGAGTGCCGGCGCAGGACCGACGGCTTTACGTGCTCTCCGAGGCACGGGGGTGAAACACCGCCAACTTCCCAACTCCGGGCTGTTACTGAGACTTACTATACAGGAAGACTCAATAACTAAACTTGCCCCGACCCGGGACTCGAACCCAGGATCTCCGTGTGTGCAGCCGTACATGATAGCCACTACACCACCGAGGCAGTAAATTCGGTATTATATACTAGTTATAAAAGTACACTTTCGTTTTAGATCCCATGTAATGTTACGCTTTTAACTTTCATGACGCATAAAAAGCATACAAACTGGTTCTGATATGACTCTACTTGCAGGCAAATATCGCAGATACAAAATGTTCGAGTCGCAGACTTAGAACCTGTTACTTCGAACTTAATAATGACAACCAGACATACTGTTATTTTTATAGAAGTCAATACGTAAGTGGTAAAAGAGGCAATGGTAGCACAGTAGTAACGCAAGGGAATGTGGCTAGTGAGATTCTTATTAATATTATAAATGTGGAAATTTAATGTAAGCAGATTCATTTGGATATAGTTTATGGGTGGAAATATGATATAGAATACTTTTGTACTCGTACAAGTACTTATGTAATTTTTAAGAAGACCTACCTCACAATGAGCTGACACAATGTCACAAATCCTTAGCACAGTGTAATTCTGCCTTCTATTTAGCCAATGGACTGCGATTTCCGTTGTAGTTGGCCATATAACCCCTCCTAAGATGTGATCGTCTGTCACTATTTCTGGTGCTTGGAAAGTTATAAAATTGAGATTAGTTGCTGCTGTTCTGAGATCTACTACCCGAAGGCTCACTGTTGGATTTATGCGACCAACCTGCAATAGATAAAAACGAAGCAACTTTAAGAAAAATATGATATAAAATAAAGTGTTATTGTTCTATTTACACAGCAAGAGAAAAAATATGTTTGGGTAACAACAATTAGGTATATACTTACACTAACTAGCATTGCCCGCGGCTCCGCCCGCGTTCAGATGACCAAAAACCAAATTCTTATGTTTTACATATTAGTATACCCTTACATTGTAATTTTTGTATTTTTTTTCTCAGAAATGTGATATTTTCCCGCAGTAAAATGTCCTATATGTTGACTCGGATAACCAGCTATTACCATACCAAATTTCATCAAAATCTGTCCAGTAATTTTCTCGTGATGCCGTAACAGACAGACAAAAAATCTAAAAACTATAGATTCTGCCTCTGTATCGATAACAATGACATTTCAAAGATTTTCCAAAAAATATTTAATGTACAGATTCGGCTTAGTTAAAATTTTATTATATTATGTATATATGTGCTATGTAAAACAAAATGTAAGTACTGTTATAAGTTATAACCTTAGTAATAAATAACAATGAAGCATGTGTAGAAACTAAAATAGAAGTACCAACGAATCATTAAGACTTCAAAAGATTAAAATCATGAATATAAATTTGATATATGATTCTTATAGCAATTTGTAATATTCATAATGAAATAATATAAGGCTTTCAAGTTTAAAGAAATTTGCACATTTATTTCTATTCGAAGTAACTACACGACTTCCAATTTACATAATGGGAACGCTTAGGATAGAGGGTTCAAATTACAGGTCACTATCTATTTTTCCATCGATTGAAATAAGTCTAATCTTGTATGTAGTGCAAAACTTAAGACTTTAAAACATGTTTAATAAAACGTCAATGAAATCAATCCAGGTATTTTTAAAGTGATGTGCGTTTAAACAAATAGGTATGTAATAAAAAAATGATTATAATTTCTATTACATTTCAAGTTAGTCTTAATTCAATATCATTAAAAATATATACTTGTGCTAAATTACAAATAGGTATATGTATATTTTTAATATAATAGTGTCTTATTATTTATCAAAATTTAAAAAAGAATTTTAAAAGTAATTAAAAATACTAGACTAAAAACATACGCTGGAATTGAGGTAATTACTTCTCCTTTGAAGTTGGTCAAAAAATTATTTCTACCTAATCAATATTTTAATTTATTTTGTATACATGAGTTATTTGAACACATACAAAACAAAAAATAAAAATGGACGTAAAAACCTTGTCAGTGTAATGACTGCTTGTACGAATTAACATTACAAAAAACCTAAATGATTTCTACAGTTCTAACCCTGAAGATGATGTATGTATGTATGCTTAACACAAAACAACCTTTTCATATTATAATTTTAATATTATAAATAATGTCTTTAAACTATATAGGTCATATCACACTATTCAACGAAATTTGCAACAGGTATGCCTTCAATTTTGGTCTTATATTCTTACTTATATTTAAGCTTTTGGATCATTTAAAATCTGAATTTTCGCGAAAATCTAAGAAAGTATTTATAGTTAACCACTCGACACTAATACTGTCACAGCTTAATATATTAGATTACAATTTGCTTAAACATTCATCTAGTATTCTTTTTGGTATCTATAAAAGTTAATAAATAAATAAATATGTTGGGACATTAAATACACAGCACCATCTAGTTCCATGGTAAGCTACGAGGCTTGTGTTATGGATACCCGATAGTTAATACACTACACATATATAACTTTAAATACATATAAATATAAACACACACCCATGACAGGAGTACAAACATTCGTGCTCATCACACAAATGAATGCCCCTAGCGGGACTCGAACCCGTGACCGCTGGCACAGCAAGTACACAGCATTACAAGGTGAGCCAAACGGACCGGCGAGTTTTTACTAGAATATCTAATCTTGCGTGGAAGTCGATAGTTGGGCTCGGTAATTTAACAAACTTTACCGTTCTGGCTTAGACTAAGAAGTTGGAAACAAGTAAGTATCTAGAATTACATGCCTCTACTTGATATATGGCTGTATCCTCAGGCTAAACGCTAAGGAAAATATCAAAATGCACGTGTACAAATTGTTTACACTGACGCAATATTACGGTGTAAACATAGCTAGCATACAAAAATCAGTCAAGTGCGAGTAGGATTTATGCACAGAGGGTTCCCCTTAAAGATTTAGTTACTGTTTGCTAATATAACCATAATAGTCCAGTCAAAGTTAAAAAAGAGGCAATGCTTCGAAATAAAAGATAATAAGCAAATAACTTGTAAGTATAATATATACTTACACCTTTCATTGTACTATTTCATATATAGGCTCAAGTCTCATACAATCTCGTATTCATCTTACAGGTTATCACATTTGTTTTATTTTATTTCAAATAACTTCGTTTCATTTGCTTTAAATCATATTTGAAGTCGTAAGAAAAATTTTAATACAATATATGTCTCTACATTTTCTGTCCTAACTCTATACGGAACCTTAGAAATTACTTAATAAAGTGCTAATTGTTACACGGATATTACCTTTGGGTATTTCAAATCGACGATTTCTGGATACAAATCATCCGGGTCACTTTTGTCTACGTAGTAATAGTACGAGTAGGTTTCCACCAAAGTATCATTGTAACTGGCAAATGCCAAGTATGTACCATCGGGAGAGAACCAGGTAGCATGGCCGGTATACATAACATCCTCTATAACAATAAAAAAAAATTTAAAATCACAACATAATGTAAGATACAAATAGGTACAAAATTTGACAGTACAAAAACATAGAAATCTAAATTATAACTTATAACACCTCTCGTTTTTCGATAAAAATTAAAAAAAAAAACTTAATTACTTTTTTTTCTTTCTTTCATATAACAATGATCTGTAACTAGTTAATTTGTACTGACTTCTGTTCTGGCATGAAGAGCTTATATTTTTTTATTTAGTATGCAAACACTAGACCGTCATGAGTCATGACTCTTATTTTTTATGATACCTCAGAGATTATTGAGTTCAAGCAACTTTGGATTTATTTATATTATTGCTTATGGTGGTAAAACGAGTACATCAAAATATAACTATTTAGTAATTAAGGTAGTGATAGCCCAGCGGTTACCCACTCGCTTGAGAACCTGAGTAGAGCGGGTTCAAATTCCGGGTCTCGAACCTCTGATATTTACCAGATTATCCACCACTTATCTTACGATTGTCTTACGATGAAAGAAAACATCGTAATGAAATCTTCATATCTGAGAGAACTATGGCCTGATCCCCCTCGTATGGGGAGACCTGTGCCTAGCAATGGGAAGTATAATAAATATAATTTAATAATTTACCTTCGTAGACCCAATCAGCATGACCATTGTATATAACTCCAGGGATACCATCTGACGTAATTTGAATTGGCTGATTTGAGTTTTCAGGCAGATAGTAGAGATTGTTATCCAGTACATATGCTAATGAATGTCCCCCGCCGAATATACAAAGCTGAAGGCGTTGATGATTTGCGATGTATGTTACTTGCCTAGATAAATAAAAAATATTAAATACAATTTCATTGAAATTTACAATAAATAAAATAATTCCACAAGTTATTATGAGAATAGAAGCAAAAATAGTTTGCTTTTTGTGTTGTATTGACATCGGAATTTGTGTATAATATCATCTACATAACATGTAAAGGTACTAACAATTTGACACCTTAATCTGATACGAATTTAGGGGCATAATATATCAAATTGCTCATTTGGAGTTCGATTCCTACGCCTACTAATATGTGGTCTAATTAAAGCATAGCACCACTGTGGACCACTACTGATAGATATTTACATAATAAGTTGATATTTTTTATGTAAGTATAGCTTTTCCGATATATATTACGCGCTGCAATAAACTGTTTAAGTAAAACAAACGAATTTTCTCTCATACACTGCAGAAATCTCATATAAAGGTTTAAAATAGAGAAATGGGAATATTTCCATTTAAACCCCTAATAATTTCCGAAAAAAACCGTACTTACCGAGTCGAAATTTCATACAAAGCATATTTCGCTGTTGTCGAATATCTGTATACCTGCAACAATAAAAAGCATAGAGTAATTGTAAAATAAATCAACTTTGCCTGTCGCATTAAAATTTTAATAATATCTGACAATCTACTAGGATTATACTTATCTAACCTAAATTATCTTTATTTATGTTTTATAGCCGACCATAATTGATGATAATGTTATATAAAAGATAGCAAAATAATACTTAGTTTGGGACAGGAACGTGCTAAAATATAATAATTGATTTATAAACAATACTTACAGATTGAACTTCACTAGGAGCCAATATAAATTGTCTATCCGCTGACAATATAGGATTGGTAGTGTTTAAGAAACCCTGTGAAAAAGAATTTAATCTTTGGTAATCATAGTTTAAAAAATATTAGGAAGGTGCATATAACATTTCGTAGGTGCAGATTTTCAAAAAAAAACGAAAGACACCCATTCAAAAATACATTGCTTTAAAAAATATATTTTATATTTTGAATACTCAATATTACCTAATTATTACTAATTTATAATAGCCGTAAAATTTAAAAAAAACGGTCAAGTGCGAATTAAATTCGCACACGAAGGGTTCCGTACCATCATCATTCATCATCGTATTCGTACATGTACCTACTTTTGATTAAAATGACTTTTACTCCACGTGTGCAGTATATTAACTTTGATGATCGATGATGATGATGATTTTATTTATTTTTATTATTTGTTATTATAGCGGCAATAGAAATATTATGAAAATTTCAACTCTCTACCTACTACGGTTTATGAGATACAGCCCTCTGACAGACGGACGGACGGACAGGGTAGGGTTGGTAATATGCTTCCGTTGGCACCCTTCGGGTACGGAACCTTAAAAAGTCGGCAACTATAGGTTCACAATCACACAACACACAATCAGTAGTAATTACTTACTATCAAAGAAACATACTATTAAAATGTACTTTTAGTGCATTCTTAATTTTTAAATTGGGTAAGTCCATATTAATTACAATAGGTACTATTTTTTATTATTTATCAACATACCATAATCTCTCCTGATACAAGCACATCCCTTTCGAGTCTGGACACATCATAAACGTAAATCCCGGATTCACCAGGAATCGTGTACGTAAATTCGGTATCTGCAATGTTGTAACTAACAGTTACATTTTTTAAAGTATATCTTGCTGTGCTTATTGGTATCAAGAATTGACCCTATCCAGGAGTCGAACCCGTCATATACCTACTTTATAATAGGCCAGTCTTTCTCAAAGTGGAGTAGGGGTTAGCCCTAGAATATTCATTCTTGATGTTATCATTCTACACAAATTATGACAAATTTATAAGTAACGATAAAGTAAAAACAAAGGCTAAAAAATCGGAGTAGGTTCTTAAGTACCCCTGAAATTCTAAATCTTAGGGTTGGTTTCGGTAATACAATATTTAAATAGCTGTGAGTTAGAAAATCAAGTAATAATGTAAATGTAAGCATGTTTTATTGCTACACTTTCTTGCCTTGTATGTGTATATATATATATATATATATATATATATATATATATATATATATATATATATATCAACCTAGTAACTACCTACCTACTTCTATCTAATGATATCGAGGTAGATTCTAATTAAGTACTTGACAGCAGGTCAAAGTTTATCTAATTTAATAAATTAACGTTTGTTATATACAATATAATTAGAATTGTCAGAATTAAACGTGTTATCATAATTCTGAACCTAATAAGAATATATTCCAAAATAAACCAAGTATTTCTATTACATCCTGTCTAAGTCTACTTATTACGAACGTGTATTATACCTCCTCATTATGCTTTTCTTGGAAATCTAATTGCTACGAATACCAATTTTCTCTTATTAGTTTACCAGAGATCCATGTTCCATTGAAGCTTCGCTGTCCGAACTGTCCGGACAGAAAGTCATCCATTGTGAAGGGGTTGTCTCCCACCACCACAGCCACCACCGCCGTCCATACTAACCACACTCGCATCTTAATAATAAATATCAACTTGTATAATTTGTATATATGTAATTATTAATTATGCTATATTCAATCAAATCGTTTTCCTAAAATTAGTTTTGTTTCTTTATATGATGGAAATGATAAGATACTTAGTTTGTAATTCTAATTGATCATACTTTAGTAACTAGGTTTTACAGCCTGTTTAAATGTACTTCATATTCAAAGAACTTTGGATAATCATTATAAAAGACCTAATAATACTTTCTTAGATTTATGCGAATATTTGACATTTCGGATTTTTATTTAAAATATAAAAGGCCTAGTTAATTTGCTTATAGCACTAGCTCTCATTTAAATATGGATGTAGTTATGCAAAATAGATACAACCAATACTATAACTTAATTACGAGAAAATAATAGTTTTAGTAAAATTGATATATCAAAATAAAAAGACCGTAGTTTTTTTTTAAATCCTCTTAAATTTTGGTGATTACCTACTTTCCGTATATAAGTTGATATAGGTGCCATTTATGATCCCCCCCAACGTGCGTTCACCTTGTCGTGGTGGGGGGGCTCAGTAGTGCCCGGCAACCCAACCGGGCGCGAAGCTAAGAAACGCACAGGGAGGTTGCCCACTTCGGTGGGCGGCGGGAGGTGGCCCTCTTCGGGGGGCGGTGTACCTTGCGGGTTGCTCCTGGTACTTCTCTGATAGCAGAGTGGACCTTGGAGCAACCCCATGGTTGTGGTGGTCTGCTTTGGCAGACCTACCGTCGGGGCGTCGTAGTTGAATGCGTAAGCGATCCTGCGACGCCCCATTAAGACGGGGGAAGGTTTTGTTGGGTTTTAGTGGGTAGTACTGGCTGTATTACGCCGGTGAGTCCCACACGTCGTGCGTAAATGGCTTTCCCAACGTTAAAAAAAAAAGGTGCCATTTATGATAATAACTCAAAAAACGATTTTCGTGGGCTGGATGCATTTTGCATAACTACGTCCATATTATCTTACATAATTATTGATTTATAAGGTTTTTTAAATATTTGAAATTATTTAAATATGACTTGAAGTAACTTACCATATTTTAATATACACTATTGTCTGTTATACATTGGTTGACGGCAGCAATCCGCCAACACAACTACTTTATTGTTACATATCACATTGTTTTCTTATCCATTGATAACTGTATATCTTCTGATAAAAGATAATTCTACAAATTAGGCTATATTATTAGGTCGATAAATAATAATAAGATTAAAATATTAAATAACTCATGATAACTCTTAAATTATTTTTTTGCGACACAACACAATATAAATTGTACAAAATCCAATTAAAAATGAACATTTAAAAAAAATATCTGGCGAGTATTTTAAAGGTTGTTTATGAGAAATAAAACAACACTAAATAATGAGGAAATATTTATTAGACATCAATGGATTTATAATTATTATGCTGATAATTCATACAATTTGAAACAATTCCGACAGTATAACCTTATACAATTTTCACGTGTTCGGATCACGGATCCAAATATAAATTCCATTTAGGGGGAAATTCCATAGAGCTGCATTAAATTTTCTCATTCTATATTTCCTCGACGACGTCCAATTCCAACCGACGTATATTAATTACATAATCTTATTATTCTAGTAATTATTGTTCATGGTTCCTTCGGAAACACTCTACGAGTCGAATCCGGCGTTTTGATGAGAATTTTGAACGCACAACTAGACTGTTGATTACGATAGCGACCCAATACTAACTGGACCACTCGTGATGAATCAGCAATCATAGTCCAAATATCCGACTGCGGCACGCAACTAGGGCGTATTCCACTGCGGAGATCCAAAATGTCGGCCTCGATCAAGCGACTGCGATACTCCGACGACGAATTTAAATCATAGGATTTCTTCCAAGCGTGCCTTTCTATAACATTTTGTATAAAATAAATTGGTTTGCTTTACTGCTTCATAATAATACCTTTGCAATCTTGAATATATCTTCTTTAAACCTAATCATCTTACAGTTAATATACAAACTAAAATAATGTATTATAAGCAATATTTTAATTTTGCAAAGCTGCCGAAGAGGGCAGTTCCACTGAAAATCTGAAAAGGAATATCGACAACGCGACAAAGCATTAAAATGTATAGGCTTATGATATGAGTAGTGGTTTGTGTATGATATTTGTGTAATGAGTGAGATGTGTACATAAGTGAGTGAGAAGTCTTTTGTGTATAATGTATATGGTAATGTGTGTGTGAAGGTTATGTGTATATACGGGCGGTAGACGGACCATGTTAGTGTCTGCGGTGGGTACGTCGCAGCTCCTGGAGCCGCCGCTCATGCTCGGCCATGTGTTGCCGCCTTTGTTCCTCTTTTATTGCAATCTGAAAGAAATGTAATGCAATTATTATACAGTGAATTATTATTAATAAAAAAAATGTGTTTGTTACTTTGAAAGGGTTCAATGGGTTAGGATGAGTGTACAGACAGACTGTGACCTGTTTAGACACCTAGGGATGAACTAGAGCTAAGTGGAGGTAAATCACTAGATATGTACATTACAGATTAAAAATATATATTGCAACAGTATTTTTCATTTTCCTTTGTTTTGAACACACTAATTTTTACCAAATTTTAAATAATACTTTTACATTCCATAGCATTTTTATTGAGGAACGATGTTACAGGCTATCTAAATTCACACTAGAACTTTACAAAGTATAGGTCAGAAAGTACAGTAAGTCAAAATAAAGTAACAGTGATGCAGTGGCAGGCCATGTGGAATATCATAAGTAATTTTGTTGAGATTGTGTGTACACTTTAATTTTAAAAAATATAAGTGAAGGTCTATTTGATTGAATTTTCTGACCTACCACACGATTGTATGAACCGTATTTAAAATTAGCATCTGCCAGTATTAAAATTATTTTTTCAACATTCTCGTACTATGTCAAGCAGCTTTAGTTCAGAAGTAGTTTTATCAAAATAATATAAAAAATTAACTATTATATTGAGATGAGAGAGCATTACTGGTAATAGGAGTATCCTATAAATTAGTCCATAAGATACAGGTTCCTTCATAAATACACAACAGATTTTTTGAAAGGTTTACATGTGACTGAGTAAACATAGAAGAGAACATGTCAATAACAATCTCCGACACATAATATTAATATGATAAAAATTTCTAATCAGTGCATCAATAAAAAAACTCTTACAGTTTCAGCTGACAGCGGTAGCCAGTATATGCAAGGTGTAGTTTTTGTCTTTCTAAATAAATCATCCAACAGTTTTGCAGGTGCCTCCTCTTCCTTCTTTTTGAATTTTCTAGCTGAAAACAAAATATTGCACTATTATTTATTGTCTTATTTAATACATACTTGAAAAGAATTGTATCAGCTAATTTGCTAATGATAATATATTATATATTTACTAGACAGTATGTATATTATTTAATCTGCTCATCAAATTCTATTATTTACGATTTGATCCTTTGAGAAATTGAGCTATACAAAATTAGCCAAATTTTACAAGTATAAATAAAACAATACCTGGTTCAGGACTCCTTTCAGGAGTGTGATGTCTTCTCTTTTCTAGCGGCCGCTCCTCTCTCAAAATTTTGTCTTGACGTCCAACTTCTTTGTCTTTTTCATTCTTCCCAACATCCCATTCACGCATAGCTGCTTTCCTTTCCCATGGTTTTTCCTTTAACATCTTAAATAATGCATATTTTAAAATAAGTAATACCTCAAAATGGACTAAAAATTTTGAAATGCTTTTAATATTAATTTATACTTAGCGATTTTTTAAATGAAAATGTTAATGCTATTTTATTCTTTAGTTAAACTATTGGAAAACATGTTCACAATCATTTTACAAACTTCTACAATAATTACTTTGATGATTAGAAGAAAAAATTGTGTCATACATACCAATTCTCCTTTTTCTCTTTTCATATCTTGTTCACGCAGCCAATCCTCAACTGTTCCAGGGATAGTTGAATGTTGAGCATTATCCGTATCTTCATTAGCTTTTGCCTTATCAAAATCATCCTGGGTTGAGAAATCAACATGTAATGTTTTAGGATTAGACACAGGCCATGTCACTCCATGTAATGCATGTCTTGTTTCAACTGCTTGACTATAACAATAACAAAATATATAATTAATTAAATGCATATGGCATACTATATTAATATAACTAAACATTATTGAAATGCTTTTGAAAAAAAGATAATATGAAATGGAACTTACTCTTCAGATTCATATTTCACAAAACATTTTGATTTAATTCTGTCAATCCAAAATCCATTTTCAGCGATTCTACCAGTTCTTTGTAATAGATTCTTCAACTGAGGAAGCGTAAATGGCCTCACTAAATTGGTTATATACAAAATGCTTGACTGTTTGTGTCTCGGAGGACTGGGTGGTCTAGTTATAATGCTATCATTATCTTTAACAATAGAAATTTTCCGCATAGATGCAAGATTTGTTTCTTTTGACTTAAAATTCTCCTTATCTCCAGTTTCTATATTTTTATCCTTGTTATTCATTTCAACATGTTCTGTATTGTCAATAACAATCTTTGGTAAAACTGGTCTATCAATTTTATCTGGTACCTCTACTCTCTTGTGCTTTTTTTCCTCGATTACTTCATCAAATTCAGTTGGCTTTACATCAGGTATTATTTCTTTAAGAATGTCAGTGGAAATAGTTATAGATTTTTGTGTTGAAAGTTTGCTTGGACGAGAACCCCATCTTCGTTTTCTGTTGATCACTAATGGTGGTGCTTGCTCATTGGTAATTTCTTGAGCATTTTGTTTGCTGTCTTCATCAAGCTTTTTACTCTCTTCTGTATTTTCCGAATCCTTAGTTGCCTCTTCTTTATTTAAATCTGATGGAATAGTTTCTTTTTCAGGTTCTACATTTTTAGTGCTCTCTACAACATCATTTGTATTAGTACTTATTGTATCCTTATTATTAGACTCTGTGTTCCCTGAAATTTCAGTTGTATTCTCATTAATACTTACCTCACTTGTCACCAAATCGCTTTTGTCTTTTTCCTGATTTGTTTCTTTTGAATCTATTTCCTGTGATTCATTGATGCTTATTTCTGATGATTCACATCTGCTATCCTCTGCATGTAGTTCTAAAATTTCCGACTTTTCAGCTGACATACTTCGTTTTCTCTCTGGGATTTTAGGAGATAAAGTTGTACCTTCCTCAATATTGTCAACTGGCTTAGGTGAAACAACTGTTGTATCAGCATCAGATGGCTTTTCTTGTGTATCAGTATCCTCTGTCACTTCACTTTTGTGACTTGCCTCATTTTCTTTACATTCAGTTGATTCAACATTGTCGTCTTTTACTTCTTCATTGGTAGTTGACATAGGCGCCTCATCTGTTACAGGTTTATTTGACTCCGAACTTTCAACTTCTGTATTCGTTTCGGTAGATTCTGGTTCAGATGTTGCAGAAGCTTGTGGTGCAGCATCTGCTTCATCATGATCTTCCTTACTTGTATCACCAGCGTCCTTTGACTCGGTTAATCTCTTAGATCGATGTTTTGATTTCTTTTTTTCCTCTCCTTCAACACTTTGAGTATCACTAGAACTTGTAGCTCGAGAATGCTTCCTTTTACTTCTAGGTGATCTATCTGCTCTTTCTGGAGTAGACGGCGGCCGAGCAAGACATATTTTTAACTTCTGAATCTCACCAATATCACCCGACGTCTCGGTTGCTTTAACATGCCAGACTTGCTCTTGTGACTCTTCAGGACTATCTTCTTTAGAAGATTTTGGCGGGGTGGTATTTTCTGTTTGGCTAACCTCACACTTAGTTTCCTTTGGAGCATTATCTTCAGCTGACTCACTTTCTGACGATGAAGATTGTTTGCGACTACGACGTGTTCTCGTACGCTTTACTTTCTCAACTTTTTCCTTTTTCTCAGGAGAAGCTTTTTTCTTGCTGGCGGTGCGTTCACTTTTACGACGCATTGTTGTGAAAGTATCAACTTATAACAAACAAATTCTGTATTTATATAATAAACAATATTTTTAATATTGTAACAATTTTAAAGTAAAGTACAATAAACGATTTATTATTACTAGCACACAGAAATAAGATATGCGCAAGCCAATCATATGGCAGACATATTGAAAATTGGTGAATTAAACAGATTAAACAATAAGCACTAAGCGTTATACTTTACAGATAATAAATAGGTTAGGGGAAGCATTTTGCCTTTTTTCTCTCGCCAGATGTCGCGATCACTATAGTTCACCTTAGTATATTATGAAACTTTATAGTGTGGTGGTTATTTTCATTTTATCGAAATTGGTGAAATCACAATCTTCATACTTAATAAGCTATGTGGCCATCATTTTAAGAAAAGTGTTTTTAAAACTCTTAACTTGTCTATAGATGAATATTTATTTTAATTTTTTGTGCTTTTATACATATTAATTACACAGCTTGATACAAACTTTCATTCCACATATTTTTACCCCCATAATACGGTTTAAGAATTTATTTCTCAAAAAAGAATACAATTCACTTAAGTATCTGAGAAAACAAGTTACATCTTAATAGTAAATGTAAGCATACAGGCGGTACACAAAAATGTAGAACTATAGAAAATAAATTCATCTGTTACAAATGTGGGTATACAAAGCATCATGCCTTATTACGTATTGCTGTCACGATTGCTATTAGATAGCAATTTATGTAATCGGTTAGTTGATTTTTGTATAAAAAATATTTAGATCACAAGATGTTAAACAATATATGCACAATAAAAATGTTAATAGGAAAGTATTAAAACATAATTTATATTTATGGAATTGAATTTCGAAAAATACTAAAACACGTATTTATTAAATTCTATTGAAGAGCATTAATACCAAGTTTCAAGTAATTCTGATTATAAATAATTCTTTGCTCATATAAACTTTATTACCCCCCTTTACCCCCGTTTATCCCTTTAAGGGATTAATTTCGAAAAAAATCATATCAACATATTTTTTATCTTAAGCCTAAACACTACTTTCTGTGTAATTCACATTAAGAATAACAGAGTTTTGTACAATCTTTAATCCTCAATTTTACCCACTTAGGGGATGAATTTCGAAAAACTTCTTTTTATCGAATGCCTATATCAGAAATACGTCCTTAAAATTTCATGTTTCTACAACCAGCGGTTAATGCTGTGTGGTGATGCATCAGACAGTCAGGATCACCACAGGATGCACCTCTAATTCTCAATTATTCCATGAGCTGGTCTCACTTCGAGGTACAATATATTGTACAGGTGTACAAGATGCGAACATATTAGAAGCAAATAATCAGATATAAAAATCTTTACAATATATTGCTCAGACTGAATGTAAATAGGCGATACGTATGGCGCCCTCCATACGAAAAATCTTTCCCATTATCAAGTCTTTATTAATTAAATTACGCTAAGTTTATATAATAGTAGTAGTATATATAATAGTGTAAAAAAATATTAATTATAAATTATGCGTAATTTTGCTCTACTTATTAAATAAATTTAGAATTTATGTCCATTAATGTTTTGAATTGACAAATAAAATATTCCATATTATTTTAACGTAGAGTTAAATCTTCATATTGATTATTTAGCACTCTTTTGAAGATTAATTGATTTATATTATTTTTATATGTACCGGTGTATTTTTTATCTACGATTTACATATGACGTTTGCTTTGCTAATCGCTTGCTAGTCAGCTAGCTGCACCTGTCATTGTTAAAATGAACTCTTTTTCGATATTTTCTTTAAGTTTTTAAAACAAAATTGCTGATGTGATCTTATAATGTCGAGGTATAGTAATTATAAAATATTTCTTAATATCATTGATATTAATTTAAAATAATTATTTGCAACTTATACATTCATTCCTTTTGTTACAGATAGTATGGACTTTATAAGTCACATTAGCGGTCCCGCACTCTATTTGTGTGTATATAAGGCGTGCTTTTAGAATGATAATGAGTTATTATCTATAACATTTGCCACCTTATTTAATAATGGGTAACCAAAATAGTTGCTGTTGTTACCGAAGTCCTTCGCCGATCAGGAAGGATATTGTTAAACTCGAAGACTATCTGCCTGAAGGAGAAGTAAGCTCCAATAATATTCAACATATTAGCGAACGAGAACCTGATGATGGTGATATTGATCCCTCTCAGGACCCAATTGCAGGAACAATTTTTATGGAAAGGTCTAAAGCATCAATTGAAAATGGAATAACACGAAAACGAAGTCAACATCAAATAGCTGATAATAAATTGAAGAAAAGCAGTTCCTGTTCTACTATATACTTAGATGATAGTACTGTATCCCAGCCTAATTTAAAAAATACAGTGAAATGTGTTGCACTTGCAATATATTATCATATTAAAAACAGAACATCAGAACGAAGGTTGGACATATTTGATGAAAAACTTCATCCATTAAGTAAAGAAGGAATCAGTGATGATTATGATAAATACAACCCTGAACATAAGCAAATATATAAGTTTGTAAGAACATTATTTAATGCTGCTCAGTTAACAGCAGAGTGTGCTATTATTACTTTAGTATACTTGGAAAGGCTTCTTATATGTGCAGAACTTGATATAGCACCTTCTAATTGGAAAAGAATTGTTTTAGGTGCAATTTTACTTGCAAGCAAAGTTTGGGATGATCAAGCAGTCTGGAATGTTGATTACTGCCAAATATTAAAGGATATTACTGTGGAAGATATGAATGAATTAGAAAGGCAATTTTTAGAAATGCTACAATTCAACATAAATGTTCCATCTAGTGTGTATGCTAAATATTACTTTGATTTACGTACATTAGCTGAAGCTAATGATTTGGCTTTCCCCAGTGAGCCGTTGAGCAAGGAAAGAGCACAAAAATTAGAGGCAATGTCAAGAGTAATGGAGGATAAAATATCTGCAGAAGTTGTTAAGAATGGTATAAAGAAATGGTCTAGCTTAGACAATGTCAATTCTGGTGCAGGAGTAAGGCGTAGTGTGGCCATATTATCTTAATTTTTATCTAAAACCAAATTATGGATACTGATTTAGATCATGACGCTACAGACTTACTTCTAATTAGAATGTTTACACCAGATTGTTGACATAATATGAATTTTAGTTCAGTAATTCAGAAGTTAATAAATACAAAGAATGTGATGTGAACTGCCAAATATCATATTTGAGATCTTAAAGGTATCTATACTAACTGGTATAGTCATTTTACTAAAATTTTTGCTGTGTAACAAATGTAGATATAATGATTATTTAAATTGAAAGTGCACAAAAGCCTGGGAATTGTAACAGAATACTGAAAGTTATTATTTTCATTGTCATGAGTTTTTATACTAATGATAGTTCTTAAAATGAAAGACTTACTAAATGAGGTCCAATATTTTTTTGTATTATATCCATAATAACTGATTTGCTACTTAATTCTTATACATAATTTATGTTTTATTATCATATATATTGGCTTCCAATTCATTTAGTTTTACTTTTTAGAAGCACTAATTAAATAGTTTGCTTCCAAAACTATGCTGCTTAGTGTTAACTTAGGGTACTTTTAGAACATGCATATGACTGAATTAAGGATCTTGTGATTGTGGCATGAATGTTTTAGTCATCAGATTTTTTTAAATAATTTTATTATTAACAGTTATTGCATTTAGAATCCGATATAGTTATATATTAAATTATGCCAAATTATTTTGTAATCAAATAAGAATATCATCATTAGTCGGACATTGTAAAATTTTACAATTGAGAATAAATAGTTTCCATGTGAAAATACAATATTTGTAATTATATTATACAATAAATAGGAATTGAATAAGTTGAACTATTTAAAGCAATTAACATTTGTGATTAAGTTATGCAGTCCATACTTTATATATCATTAATGTAATTAAGCAAAAATAAACATTTTATATGAGACTTTCAATTGCTACTTTAATCCAATCCTTTATACTGATGGCAGATGATTTTGGTAAATTAAATTTTTCAAATATCTCTAAATATATATTTTACATTTTATTTATTTATCACAAATATGACTTTATTATACTGCCATTTTTACAGGGCAGCCTATGTTATATAATTATTTTACTGAGAGGTATCTCAGTATCGAAAATATAAATAAAACTACAAACATTAAAGGTAACTATTTTATTATAACTAGTAAGTTAATAGTCTATAATCTATTTAAATTTAACCTAAAGGCTTAAGATCTTTTAGATAAGCACTATAATTTTCTAACATATCTATAACATCACCACTGTCCTTATTATTAGCCTTTTCATCATATTCTGGACCTACTGCCCATAAGGTTTCCAAATCATATATCTTACGAGTCTTGTCTGAGAAAATATGTAGTGCTATGTTACCTGTAAATATAAGAAATATTAGATGTGAATATATAAAATATTTCTAGATTTATAAGACAAGTTAAAAATGTTATACCTAAATCTAATGCCATCCATTCTTCAGAATTTTTTCCTTCAATTCTTGGTATATGATCAGTTTTATGACATTTTTTTTTATATACCTTTCTTACAAATTCTGCCAAAGCCAGGAGATGTCTTTTACTTCTGGCACTTACTACACAAATATACTCTACATAATTTATATCTTTTGATACAGCAGCTACAAATATGTCTTTTGAATTCTCCCTTTGTAATAGGTCAACAAGGTCTTCAACTTCAAACACCCCAGTTTTACCGCCTGCAAAAAAGTATTTTTATACATTAAAAAAAGAATTGGTTATAAATTTTTCCATTTTCGTTTTAGAAGTTGAAAAATGACAAATATTTATTATTCAAATCATGGCAATAATTTCTAAAGAAAGATGAACTGATAGTTGAGTAATAGAACAAACAGTAAACCTCACGAGCACAAACTGCATTTTGAGGAGCTATTCCTCTCATCACACCAAAAAGCCTCATCAGATATTCACCGAATTATTATAAGATCAACTTAAAGTTACTACATTTCAAATAATTACAAAACCATCGAAATCGGACCTCATAAGGCAGTGATATCCAGTAGTCTCTCTATCAAAAATCCACGAAGACAAAAAATTCTATAAAGTCGTAAAACCTGTATACAAAGTTTTGGCCAGATCTGTTATAAAATACGACCTGTAGAGGAGTACCAAAATACTGACAAAGGAAAACAAATTTTGCGAGACGTCAAGCAGAGACGCTTCGCTCGCTCGGTCAATAAATTAAAAAACGCTTAAATATCAAACTGTATTTTATATAATCAAAGCGTTAACTTACGTTCTAAATTAATTCCGTCAAATTCATCGCTCAAGATAGGATATTTTTCATCCATATAAATTTCATCAGCCGTGTGTTCAATCACTGATGCATTCGTTTCTGTTATAACTTGATATTTACTTGCAATAGCTGGTGAAGTTTGACTACTTGATTTAGGCGGATTTCGTGGATTTTGAAAAGCTATGCTACAATGTAATTGTCTGTTAACATTTAAAGACGTTTTAGGAAAGCAACTCCACCAATTCCTATTTTGCATGCTTGTTAGCGAAACAATTTTTTTAAACATTTTTTCGCAAACATGAGTAAATAAAACTTAAATAATTAGGTATATAAAAACAAAAATTGAAAACGATATGTGATAACCTTAAATTTTAAAAGTTTGTTGTCATTGTCAACCGAACTTGACATTTGACTTGACAAATGTTAAATATTTAAAGTTACATTAATTAAAAAGATTGCCAGAAAAAATATTGTATAGACAATAGACATGTGTGCATAATAATGAGGACAATCGTTTTTGGGGGCACCAGTTGACGCCACTAGCGAGTAAGGCCCTATTGCTGTCATTGTATATCGGCTTACCAAACTCAGGCCTCAGTTTTTTTTAATTTATGATTTTTTATTTTCACATATCGTTTTTTCGTCGTTTATTATTCGCCATAAATAATTGCTTGTTTGTAAATTGTTTATTGAACAATAATTAAACAAAAATGTATCCTCAAAATAGCCCCAATAGAAATTTATAATTTTTCTTTTTACTAGTAGTTTTTAAATATCCATTACTCTTTGTTCATTTATAAAATACGTTTGTTCAATCATCAAAGTGCCTATTTTTTGTTTAACAATTTTCACTTATCTCAATTATTATTCAGATACTTGTGTGGCACATACGTCAATTATATTTTACACGAGTGTGAATGTAGTAAATATTTAACAATTTTCGAGATATTATATAAAACAAATACATAAATAAATGATTAATAACTGAAAATAAACATACATAATAAGTAAGAATTTTGACTATTATGTAATCAGTAATTATGTTACTTGTGATTGTAATGTTGTCATAGACTATGACGTCACGCCAAGTTACGCCACGCTAAAATGGTTGACCCTTGAATCATTAAAGTATTCGCATCTATAAGATATTATTAAAATATTTATTTTAAACTAAATTTTAGTTTTTGGGAGTTGGCTATTTTTATCCGATGGAGAATAATTTTGCTTTTTTCTCACGCCAGATGTCGCGAGCACTATAACCCTCAGTTATTGTAAAGCTCTTTAGCGTGGAATGATTTATGTTTCATTTTATTTAAAATTAATTAAAATAACAAATTGTGCAGTGCCAGGATGCAAAGAAAATGGATATCATTTGTACCCAAAACGACAGAATCTGAAAAAATTGTGGGCTAAAGCAATAGACGACCAAAACTAACAAAATCCCAATCTTTATATTTAAGGCTCGGGAACAAAAAAAAATCCGCGAAATAATCCAAAAAGAAAGTTTTATTTTAAACTCTTAAATCGTCTTGTGATTTTTTTTTACTTTTTTACATATTAATTACAGAGTTTCGTACAAATTTTCCTCTCCCATTATATCTCCTTATAGGATTGAATTTCGAAAGATGCTGAAACACGTATTTATTTAATTGTATTGAGCATTTATACCAAGTTTCAAGTAATTCTGATCATAAACACCACTTTCTGTGTATTTCACAGTAATCATCAGTATATATCTATACTCTTTGGTAATCATGTTTGATAGTAATTCTTAGTCACTCATATTTTTCTGTTCAACTTTAACTTTTCAATTATGGTTTTTTCAAATATAGAGTTTAAAAATTAATATTCGCGGACAACAGAATTTAAGTAATTAATTACATTTGTAATTTTATTAATAAAAATTTCACCCATTTTGACACTAAAATAAACTAAACACAAGGCAAATCTTACTAAAAAATCCTCAATTTTAAAATATGCGTAGGCACTGGGCATAGGCTTCGCAGAACATAGGCTTATTTGTAAGAACTCATACTACTACGACACGTGCACATCATCTAACTGTTCATGGCATAGAATATTTTAGCTCTAAAGAATAAACAAAGTTTAAACATAAGTTTATTAATTGTATGTTTTACTAAAAATACGAAACAATAATTTATTACGAATTATTTATCACAAGTGAGAGTTACTGACAGTGACTATATACATACGTGTATTGTCACAGAGGTGCCTGGCTATATTAATTGACCGACTAAAAGACTGGTGGAGGTAGTGCTCAATTCATTTTTCTTTGGGTGTATGAAATAGAATATCTTCGCCATTTACAAATTGATTTTTATAATCATTTTAATAAATAAGTCATACCTCAAGAGAAACAGAGTAGGAGAAACCGTCAGATAGTTTGGAAGTACTCGTATGTTATGTGTTAAAATCATAAGGAATTAGGTTCATTAACTCTACCGAATCATGTACCTAAGAGTTATAAAACAATCTATTCAATCTAACTTATTCTGAAAACCAATGGTATTTTTTTAATTTAAAGACATTCTACAAACGAATAAAACAACAAATAATGATAAAAATTTACAATAAAGCAGGACAGAAGTTATCGGTGAATAAACAATTTTATCTTATCAGGTATTTATCAATAGGTGTGGGCTATACTGCATTTGACTAAACTCATTTGTCTAATGAATACTACATTTTTTTTTGTATTGAATAAAAAACAAGTGATTTTTGGAAGTGATTTGTTCCTTACCATGAGCGGTAACGGACATGTTAGTTATTGTTAACAATGGTAGTATGTGAATTGGATAGTGAGATTTCGGGTGAAATTCTAGGTTGGAAGCTTCCCCCTTGGCAATCATTGCTTTTCCATCGCGCATTACCATCTTGCGGTGGACTTGTCATTTACTTAATAGTGATTTGTTTTGATCTTTCGCTTATTATTCAAAATTTCCAAAATGGTGAGAAAGCGTAAGTATTAGATATTAGAAGCTACAGCAATATTTTTATTGATATTATCTTTCGTTAAATTTATGAATTTTAATTGCAAATACTAGCGGCTCACCCTTGTTTCGCTCGGGTTCGTCCCTAGGTACGTTTTAAATAAATATAAATAGTTATTATCCGGCATTAGCCATAATATAAGTTTAATTTTTTTCGTGATTTTTTACCGATGTTTTTATAGTTATTCTGCTATTCGGGGTCAACTCCAACAAATCAAAAATCATCAAAATCAGTCCAGCAGTTCTCGAGTTATAAGTGTTGTAACAAACCCGACTTTGTTTTATATATATAGATATTAGGGATGACATACCTACTTCAGTTTAGGTATTAAAAAGAAATACTAACACAATAGAGTTGTGTTAGTAGTAAATTGAGTCACACATACCTACATACATACATATATCTAATATGTCAAGGTAAAACTTCAGAAAACACTATCATTGTCCATTTACAATTAATTATACACTGTATAATGTACAATATACGTATACATATATGTATTTATTGTGTAGATCATTTGAGAGTTATATTATTTTTATTTTCTCCAACAGGTTAGGTGTATTTTGCTGTATATTGTTGGCGTTCCCAGCATTATTAGCATTACTTTTTACATTAGCGTCGCCTCCTCCCGGCTTGCTAACGGAAGAATCTGCATTCTCAGTAAAACTACAAAACAATGACATTAAGTGGATCTTAGAAGAAATTTTACGTACGCTATTTTTTCCTATCGCAGGGATAGGCAGGTAAGTAAATATTATTTTATATTTAGGTACAATGTTTGTTGTTGTAAAGTAAAGCCAAAGTTATTTATTCTTGTTATTTTAAAATACTTTATAGTACAAAATATTAATAAAAACGTCAATTTTACTGAAATGCAATGCAAATGTAAAATTTAATAATTAAGAGATAAATATTCTCTCACGCTATTCCGAGTTCACGAGCTAGTGTTTCTTTGTAGCGTCGTTCGCCAAACATTAAATTTACGTTGCAGATACTGCTATTTAATATTCTGGTGGATAGAAGCCGTGTACGCGTCCCGAGACCAAGATGAGGCTAGAACGAAGGAGGCTCTCTCGCGGGCCCGGGCGCCTTCTTCCATGGAACTCTATTTCTTCCTACAGGCCTTCTTGCATTGCGCGCCGCTCGCTATTATCAATATCCTAGACATGATGGCACGCTATGCGAACCCTGCATATGATAAGAGTACGTGTTATACATGCTTGAATATCTAAGACTCTTGAGTTTGTTACCTACTTAAATAATACATTGTGACTAAATGAATGATATACATTTATTATATTAAATTCCAGGGCTTTAAAGTTTTAAATGGAACAAAACTTGGTTCTGTTATTTACATTGCTAGTAATTGAAGAAGTGTACAAAATAATATAAATTACATAATGTTATTTTACAATTGAAGTAAAAATAAAAACCGTTAGGTACATCGTGAACCTAAAAAAATATTTGCAAATACTTTTGCTTTCTGAACTTTTGAGAGAATCAATTACTATTTATAAAAATAAGATTGATCAACCCAAATTAATTGAAATAAATTAAAATGTTTATAAATAATGAATATACAAATATATACAAATATATATTGTCTTTTTACAGTTACCATCCAAGCGGTCAGTTTAGTTGCAGCTTCACTACGAATGGCGAGTACAGCTACGATGTACAGACGATTTGAACGAGAAAAAATATGTGGGCGTAAATATCCCTGGAGTATTAATAAATCTGACACTCAAGATAAAAATGTCAATAACGAAAATTTAGAAAAAACAAATAACAACGAGGAAAATGAACCAATTTACGAACCAATAATAAAGCGTCAATCATCATCAATCTCCCGAAAGTCTGTAGAATGTAGAGAACAAGTAAATAGTGATTTGATTGAATTCTCACCCCGAAATTCAGAGAGGCATTTTTACGACGACGATTTCTTGTCGGATGTAAGTTCGGATTACTTGCCGCCGACCCAGCGGGAAGAAGACAGTGATGAAGAGTATGTGAGACCTATATCTATAATAGATAGAGTAGCGCCAAGGAGGCGCGATGTAGAGTTTACAATTGAGAGAGTATACGTACCTCCACCGCCGGAGATGCCAGCGCCGCGACCGGGCTCGATCGCTGTGTGGGCGGAAAAATTAATCGAAAACGCAGAGTCCATACCCACATGGTTGTCCGCGCCGCCCAGACGAAAACACTGGGAAGTAATTCAAGATGAACCTGACCTTCCTCGAAGAGTCCCACGATCTTACATACGAGGCCTAGAGCCACAAGATGCGACCGCCGCAATTGTACATTTTCTAGGATGGTATGCGTTTTTTGTAGCGCGATTGCTCTCTATGGCTGCATTTATAGAATTCTTTCCATTTGTAGCGATTATTATTTTAATGTCGCATTATCAAGTTATGTTGCTTTTTTTAATAGTACCGCAAAATAGTACTGTGAAGAGGGCGTTCTATGTGTTTCTCGCATTTATATATTTGTTTTGCCTTATGGAGTTTAAGATCCGTTTCCGCCACGTTCGCGTGTGGCACGCGTTTTGGAGCATAGTGTGCACTGTGGAGGTCGTTATATTCATCTTGTTGTGGGCATCTATTGATAACAAATTACATAATTGGTGGAGAAATTATATAGTAATAGTAACAATCGGTAGTCTGATAACTAGTTATATGCTTTTTTCAGTATATTTTTTAATTTTAAAACCAAAAGAGACTATTGTTTATATAAATAAGACTGTAGATAAAAATACCAGGACTGATTAATATGAAATAGAATTACGTGAAAAATATTTAAATATTTTCTTTCCAAGTAATTTGTAAATTTTTTCATGTCTACTGAGTATGTGGGTCGCCACTCGACAAGTTGTAAAAGGATTGACTTTGACAGAAATATTTATTGTTTTTACCTAACAGAAAAGACATAAAAGCGTTGCGTAAGGTATACTTTAACGCATAGAACATTAGACCCATGCGTGTTGTACCCCATTCTTCTACGCTGACATTCCGTAAGGTGCATGGCGTAATACACTTATAGCAATAAACATGATGCTTTGTGTTAGCACTTCAAAGAGGACTCTACGTGCCACGGCTGTGATTGAAGTATTCCTTTTGGTCGTTAATGCAGCTGTACAATTTTTACTCGTTCCCCTTTATCTTGATACTGATTGATTCTACGAAAAATTCTGCATCTTATAGGGAAATCCGAAATTTGAATTGTATACGATGTCAGATATTTCTCTCTATAATTATAATTATACCCAAAGGCTCTTATAAGAGCATGCGTGTATTTTATGTTTATTATTTTAATTAGTAAATACAAATAGTAAATACTGTGTGGTGAAGTGATAGATGTATTTGAGTACAGACTCCGTTGGGAGTCACTAATTGGATTCCCGCTTCGCAAATATATTGGTAACTGGACAGTCAACAGTCAAAAACAAAGTACAGCATTCAATACCGGCAAGAACTAACCTAAATAAGTCAAGCGAATGAAGTGTTACTTTTTTCCTATATTGTAGGTATTGCTCAAATGCATAAGCACTAAAAAAAGACGAAAGTATATATGTAGGTATTAAGGATTATTTATTGTTATACTTGATATTAGTCATAGAAGTGAATTACACAAAAAAAATGTATTCAGCCCTTTTTAACGTCCCACTGCTGGGCACGGGCCTCCCTTCGGTACGAGGGGGATCGGGCCATAGTCCACCACGCTGGCCAAATGCGGGTAGGCGGACTTCACATGTCTTTTGAAAACTTGCTAGATTCTCTCAGACATGCAGGTTTCCTCACGATGTTTTCCTTCACCTTTAAGACAAGTGGTAATCATGTTGGAAATGATTCGTTCATGAAAATATCAGAGGTGCGAGACCCGGGATTTGAACTCGCTTCACTCGGTTTCCCAAGCGAGCGCGTTACCACTGGGCTACCGCTGCCTAGTCAAATAAATAAAAAAATAATAATAAGTATTAATTCAAGTATATTGTTATAAAATAAGCAAAGTACAACGCTCACTAATTTATTTTGTAAAGTTAATGAATAGTTCTAAGTAAAAACAAATGACGCTTAACCATAAAATGGGCTCTATATCACATAACAGATCTCTATTCATCATGATCTTGCGAATCATATTTTTTATCAGACGAATTAATTTTGTCAGATGAGTTTCGAAGAGATCATTGCTTCTTTTAGATTCTAATTTTGTTGTTAACAACAAAACATGTTAAAAACATATAAGCTGTGTTCAGTGGTTTTTAAATATTATCAATATAGGTACTTTATTTTAAAAAAAATCTTAATTTAATGAAATGATTAATAAAAACATTTTTTAACAGGTATCTTTCTTTTTCTAATTCTTTTTCTTCTTGATTCAGGTCGTCGAGTAGAAAACAAAATCGTAAAATTATGAATTACTTTACAAAATTAAAAAAAAGGATTCCGACGAATTGAGAACCTCCTCGTTTTTGGAAATCGGTTAAAAATTGGAGTTAAATGTGTGATAATACTGATAATACTAAAAAATAATTAAGCCTCAAAAATTACAATATTATGTTTTAAATTTAAATTTTAGGTTAGATTAAAACTCAATATTATTTCTAATTATGGATAATCTCTGTTTAACAGGTTTATAGATTAATAATATTAATCCCCATAAATATAAAACAGTATAAGTTATTGGTTTAATTTCATGGAAATCAGTGTAATAATGTTTTTATGCACGTATCATATAGCCGGTACGAGTAAGTGTGCTTTAGAGCCGGCGAGTACTTTGATGATTATTTTTTGCTAATTCACCGTGCCCTGTCGATGGAAGTCCGGAGATGAGTGGCCGCCGGTAATTGCGAGCAACGATGTTATTATACCGCAACTTGAGATGAATTAAAGTGAACCAAGCTACATGGACATATTATTAGGATTAATGTATGAAAATGTATGTAATCGATGACGGTGAAGGTAATTCGTAATATTTTGTATAATTTTAAAGACTATATAGTAATATTATAAATTTTGAAGTTTTGGTTGTTGAAATTTTTACAATCGACGCAAACCTGCCGACACGAAAATGGATTGAATGATGTCACCGCATTATCTCACTTTAAAGGTTGTTATTGTTATTAGTTACCAGCGACTCACCTACGCTTCGCTCGGCTTCGTCCCTAGGTTCATTTTAATTTTTTTGAGCGGAACTCTAATTCTTTTTCGGAAATAAAAGTAGCCTAAGTCTTTATAACATCAACTAACTGCCAGTGAAAGTCCCGTCAAAATCGGCCTAACCGTTTCGGAGAAACAGACAGACAAAAAGACTGTTTTTCATACAAAAATAGTAAAATCGCGATTAAAAAATGGGGGGTTGACCTATTCTCATACCTACCAAATATACAAAAAAAAAAGAATTGCAATCGGCCGAAGCGTTTCGGAGGAGTGCGACCACAAACATCGTGACACGAAACTTTTTGATACTAGATTTATTTATTGAATATTTTATTTCTTTTCTACATATTATGTTTTATGATTAGGCTTAAACTTAGATTATTAATATGTATATAATCTAAGGACTCAAACGTGTTACTTTATTCGCCCGACACTTCACGTTGTTTCCCTTACATTTTTTATATGTATAAGTTATTAATTTTCAGCTTTCATATTATGACATATTTTCAACACCTCGCGGTTAAATTCTAAGAAATTACTTAATTGTTAACCGAGCCACCTGTGGCTCCGCGTGCTTTGAAAGGTTAATGACAATCGATTGAATATTTTTCTATTATATGTTAAAACTCATTTCTTTCTATTTTACTTTTAAAAAATTAATAAATATTTTAATTTAATTAAGGCTATATTTTTTTAGTACATATCACGTTGAAGTACTACTAAGTACTAAATATAAAATTAGTGATGAATCACGTTGCATTTTCAATAACTTGGAGTTAACTTGCGAATGTTTCATTTAATACGTCCAATACTGTCCAAGCACTAGGCGATTCAGAAAGACATTTTTAATTGTGCATTGAGATATAGTATTTCTTTAATAGCGGTGTAGTGATAGTAAGATAAAGTGAAAAATTATAGTAAATTAGTATTGCCCGCGGCTCCGCCCGCGTTCAGGTAACCAAAAACTAAATTCTTTGGTTTTACATATTAGTGTACTCTTAAATTGCAGTTTTTGTATTTTTTCGCAGAAATGAGATATTTTCCCGCGGTAAAAATTATCCTATATGTTGACCTGGATATGGTTATCCAGGTCAACATATAGGATAATTTTATCTAGCTATCACTATACCAAATTTCATCAAGATCCCTCCAGTGGTTTTTCTAAAACCTATAGATTCGGCCTCTGTATCGATAATAATGTCTATTTCAATAAGATTTTCCAAAAAATATTTAATGTACAGAGTCGTCTTAGTTACAATTTTATTATATGTATAGATAATTTAAAAACTATTATTGCTCTCTATTCCACCATATTCTACTATTCCATTGGCTAGTCTATTGGCTGTCTAAAGATACATTATGTTCTCTCTAGATATTGAAACTAATCGGCTACAAATCGATATAGCCCGGAGTGTTGGGCTGCAATACAAAAAGCAAGGAAGAGCATAAATAAGCACTAGCCGTCGACGGAGGACGGCCGAGGCCCTCGACCGACGCTTGCAACCCGACACTTCTTGTACTCAATCTTATATACTAATTTGCAGATCCGCGTTAGGGCTGTATTTAAAATAAATATTATAGTTTCTTGACGAAAATAAAATTACAGTACTATTATAGATGCGAAAGTTTTAATGTGTTTATGTTTATTACTCCGTCGCGGTAAGCAAATATCAAACTAAAGCTATTTTAGATAAAAATTTGTACATCTATACTAGTACTGCCCATGTAGTAAGTACTTATATCTGTACTATTAAGTAATCTTTGGTACATACTGTAAAGTGTAATAAAATTGGTAATAAAATTAAAATAAGTGGTAATAAAATTTACTAAAAGATGACGAAAAAGCCTTTAGTGACACATTCGAGCGACGTGAGGTTATGTACGAAATAAAACATTGTATATGAACACCAACCGTGTTAATGACTTCAAAAAATTAAACATAGTAAATAGGCTATTCAATAAATTTGACGTTATCCTCATTTAAAGTAGAAAACGGTTGCAGCTACCTTCTGATTTCTCTAAGTCATTTGTTAAAATGCTTATATTTAGACTAGCAGGACCCGCGGCTTCGCTCGCGCTAAATCTACAAAAAAATCTCTAAAAAGGTAGTTTCATACTAACTTTCATCCCCTATTTTACCTACTTGTAGGATGAATTTCGAAAAATGCTAAAACACGTAGTTATTTAATTGTATTTAAAATATTAATACCAAGTTTCAAGTAATTCTGATCATAAATATTTTTTTTGATTGTATTATAACGTGTATTTCCGTGGGAATTAGATAATCTCCCGCGGTAAAAAGTAGCCTATGTCACTCTCCAGCCCTCCAACTATCTCCACACAAAAATCCATCACACCGTTTCGACGTGAAAGAAGGACAGACAACCAACAAACAAACAAACAAACAAACAAACAAACAAACAAACAAACAAACAAACATACTTTCACATTTATTATATCAGTATGGAAGTATGGATTATGTTGTAAGTCGTAACGAATGAAAGTCTACAATTACAAGCAATCAATATATTTGAGGCGAGCAAACAAGTTCGTTAGTAGTGAATGCGATATCGCGTGTCGATAGCCCTAGCGTCCCGTTCGCGGGTAAAGAGGCGGAACCTTACAACGGGCTGCGTTGTGCGAGCTCGGCGATAAATCGAATTTCGCTGTGGACAGCGTCGTTGTCCGCCGCGATGGACGCGTGCGATACTTCACTGATATATCCGATACCAAGCATCTCACAAAACCTCACCGGCCCTTAATCAACATCATTCACTTAAACATCCCGTACTATCTCTTATATTTTACAACACTTTAACTAGAAAATACCCCGTTATGTAAATAAACGTGACTTAGGCCTTACAATGTACTCAGCTCGAGATTAGAATCGAATCATTTGATAGAACCGCCTTATGATTTGCCATAACAATTGTTCGCTTTGCCTTTAGCAATAACAGCTTGTTAAATGCTTGCAATAAATCCTGGTATAATACAAATCGAAGCTGTAATACAAATAGATTATCAATAAAGTTTATTGGACCTGACACAACTTAAAGTACTTGTAACTTGTAATCCGTTATGTTAAAATGTTTATTATAATAATAATGTTTTTAGTTATACTCTACATTTTATCGAAATCCATTATCCAGACGATCGCTAGAGAGTTCAAGTTATTGAATTTACGATAAAAACAAATATGTCCATAATCTACGTATTTTTAATGATTGTAACTAAAAAAAAGAAGGTTAGAAATCCTATAGGTAACCCAAATAAAAACAAAAGAAAAAGAATCTTATATAGTTCTTTATTTTTAGGAAGCACTAAAGATAGCCGAGATATGTTTACACGCACAAAGTTCAAGAATGTTAATCAATAAACATCAACTAGTCACGTACGGGACAACGCTGGCTGATAAGAGGTATCTTCTAGTGAGCGCACCCTGCGTCTGAGCATCGCAACCATTTCTCTGCAACACATCGAATGATAACATAATGACTTTCCACATTGACTCATACTTGCCTCCATCTTATGTCTATCTATGTACATAAACAAATAAACAAACAATTTAAGTTCTATGAACTGTAGAAAGAGATACTAAATTTATGTCAGGAGTTATCTGGAATGAATTTTGTAACGGCACACGTTTTCCGTTCCCCTGTTTTAACGATATATGATACTAATTACCTTCAATTGTTATTCTTACTTAATATTCACTAATAATATATTAATTGTATTTAGCAAACGATCCCATTAATTCATTGTCTTAATAGGTACATGCTTATACTATATAAGCTCTATGGCGTGAATTATGAATACATTATAATACCTGTAATTAATTGTGAATCAATGTAAATATTGAATACTATAATGAAGAGTTGCCCTTTCTTTAAACAATTTGAGAACGATTTCAGATTAGATTCCCGTTTGCTAGAAATGTTCAAATTTTTCGCTGTTTACATTTTTCAAATTAAAAAGTTCTTTTCAACCGACTTCAAAGAAAGAGGAGGTTTTTAATTCAGTTGTATTTTTTTATGTTTATTACATCACAGCTTCGTTATTTTTTAACGGAATTTTAATTTTTTTTGTGTGAAAGTGTATACATCCAATTTGGTCCCATTTAAATTTGAAAAAAATCACCCCTAAGGGTGGCAAAATTGCTATGAGAGTTTAACCTACTTCTATTTATCATATTGACATGAAACTTTGCAAATATTTGTATTTCCATTCAACATTACCATTCATTTATCCATTTCATTGATAGTGCAGTAATTCGGTATCGTCGAGCTGATCTGATGGTGGCCAGAAGATGGATAGTGAAAATCTTCAACGGCTAATAGTAGATACTTTGTGTTTGGGCTTATTTTGTTTGACTTGACAAGCCCAATATATTAGAATTGATTTTAGAGCCTGATTTTTAGTGTTACTAACAAAAGCGAATTTTAGTTTGTCTAACTTCATATAAAAATTGGCACCAAACTGAATTAAGCAGCATAAGCGAATATTTCATTAAAATAGCCGATACAAATCAAAGCAAAGCTTTCACCACAAATTGAGGTATAATATTTTAAACTATAACTAAAATAGGTACATACCTACATTGTCTTATTTTATAATAGATATTGATATCTTAAAGCATTGTCGGCTGACACCGACTTAGAAAAATCTGATTAGGTGTCTATAGTAAATGAAAATGGTTTTTACATTTTTTCTAAAAGTTTTTATTAAAATTAATAATTGCTACTCTTAATCCACTTATAATTCTTTTTTACCGCAAATTCAAGTTTTATTATACTTACCCCACCGTATAAATCTGCCGTCATAATAAAGAAGGCCCTAACTAACAATTTGGTCAAAAATGACTTAAATTCAGATTCAGAATCAGCAAAAAAATGGTACTTGATAGTCTAACTCATAAAGCTCTAAGTCTTATGAAGCAGGAGATACCACAGCCATTTTCATCGTAATTCCGAATAAACTACTACTAAGTACTAAGACAAAACTTTAAATATCTCGAAATCAACTTTGACGAAGTTGTGGTCTTCTTTTTTATGGCGGTAGAAATTTCCTGCATTAGTTCCTTAGAGGTCAAATTTCTGGTTGCATTTCTGAGCTTTTTAGAATATGTTCTACTTTTTAGAATCTGTTCTAATAAACACTCTTGTAATAAAAGTATAAGCACGTTTATTTTAGTTTCATTTAGTTCCAGTTGAAAGTTGTACCTTAGCAGCCGTGAGACAATACGAGAAATAGGTACCTAAGTATGCCTGGAACGTGCTTGACATCGCAACATGAGCTCGGCTACGCTTGATTAGGTACATCTACTGATTAATAGAACAATCTAATTGAATTACTAATTCTTCTACAGTGAAAATTTTCCATTCTCATTTAGAATTCATGGCAAATCGGCCTTGAAGGGAGCAAGGCTAATTTTAATGCAAAATCCTATTGAGTCGCCTAAGTTCCGTCAAACGTGCATCGAAAATTAAAATTAATAAAGTAGGTTTTATTAGAATCTTATGTCATGCAAGTACACAAGCTTAAAAAATATTTATTTTTGTGAAACAATTACTTGCATCAAAATCTTAGGGATACTTGCACCAATTATTATTTTTTGTTTCGTATAAAATATATTTAACTAAACCACATACTTAATACATACACTCTGTTGTTACCCTTAGTTTCTCTACTTACGATCTTCTATAAGATATTTAAATTACATTCTTTGATGTAAGTGGACCTGAATTTTAGTTTACATATAGCGTGTTAGCGATAGTTTCTTTTATATTTCAATTTGTATAGTAGAAAAGAACGAAGACATATCTACCGTTCGTACGCACTGTTATTCCGATACGTAGATTAATATAATTATTTATGATAATAAACACATATTTTTATCTTCCATATTATGTATCTATATTGATGTAACCGAATCATCTTATAAGATCAATTGTTAAAGCACATTCCAAACTTAATAAATGTACAAATATATTTATAGCAAGCAATATGCTAGAGTAAAGATTTAGTTCAAAAGCGATAAATCGAATCACGATGTTAAATATATTGATGTGACGGGTAAAACTGAAAAATTATCTCAGTAAGTTGTTTATGAAACGAATATAAGTTCTTCTGAAGAATTTAAAAAAATGTGAAATATGCTTTGTGCTTTTATGTGTAGGTGGAAACAACGAATGCATGACTAGACGTTGAATTAGGACATAATTTACAACGTAGTATTAATTTCGCGGACGTCAATGAAATCTTCATGTGTGGTCTCAAATAGACGACTGATTTATAATCACTATAACATTGTAATGTCTCTAAAGAATGAATTGGTTAATCTCTCCACGTCAGCACTTACGTCATAGTGTCAAAACAAGGAATACAATAAGATATTTGTGATCCATTGCGTTTTAAAAATAACATCGAAATAAAACGACTAAACTAGAAAAGGTAACGTTACTATTGCTCATAAATATGATGATGTTCTCCTGACCAATTCCGGCCACGGCGGCCAATCTCATTTAGACTAGCCAACTGCGCAGGAGATATTATAGTGCACAAGTGTACGCGCAGACACAACGTGCACTCTCTATTCCCGTCACTCTCATATTCCGGTGGGACGACTGTTCGACACGACCAGTGAGAGTTAAGGCGCAGGACCGACGGCTTTACGTGCTCTCCGAGACACGGGGGTGAAACACCGCCAACTTCCCAACTCCGGGCTGAACTGAGACTTACTATACAGAAAGACTCAATAACTAAACTTGGCCCGACCCGGGACTCAAACCCAGGACCTCCGGGTGTGCAGCCGTACATGCTAGCCACTACACCACCGAGGCAGTTAAATAATCTCATAAATATAATACTGTATGTACTACGTAGGTACGCAAAATAATCTCAAACTTCTAATTTTTACTCTAATTCTCAATTGTTAATCCACCCTGAGGCATAAATTGATTTACGTATTGAATTATTTGTATAGACAGAGTGAGTAAGACCTGTCACTATTTAATCGGCAAGTAATATTTTAAGCCAAGGACTACTGTCAATAGTAGACATTAACGACCTTCCTTCATCCAACCTAAAAAGGCATTGGACATGGAATGGATTACTATAGTAACAAAGATTATTGTTCAATCACGCTTTTGTAGATGATTGATTTATACCTATTAATCTAGCTGAGGTTGTGTTATGGATCATGCTGTGATTGTGTTATACTGTTCTCTTAATTCTATAGTTGAACGTCTCCTAAAGGTCACAGGTAAAGCTAAGTAAAGTCTATTATAACAAGTTTTTAAGTACTTATTTATATTCAAACCTGTTGCAATATTCTTAATAATATTATAATAATGCAGACATGTTGAAATCCAACTATGTATTTTTTATACAATATAAAGCTCCTATAATGAACATCGTTATATCTGCGGCTAAAAATAGTAGGCAAGTACCTATCGCTTAAACATAGGTACCCCATATTGTGCGACTACTTAAACAAATATTTAAAATTATTTATGCATACTTTTCTATCATGTAATATTGTGACAGATACATTATATCCTTGTTAAGGAACCGCAAATAGCCATAAATTTTCAAATCGAATTTCAATAATAAAGTATATACAATGTACCTATATTGATTCATTTGAAATGGGGAAAACATAAATTTACTTCGCACCTAGAGCTAATTTTACTTTAATATGTTACAAATATTACTTTTTAAGGCAGATTTAACACATATTCCTTTAAAACACTGGATGCTA